GATTCCGGGGAGTGGTTTGGCTGAGAAGGCGATGGATGCTCTTATACCATATCGCAATTTGGAGAGAGAGATAATTCTCTTTTCATTGATTCGGGAAATATTACAAAGAGACATATATATAGCAAATGAAGAAAAAAAAACAAAAAAGAGGAAAATTAATAAATTGTAAATTACAAGTTTAGTCTTCTAATACCCAAAGTACAGGATACCAATAAAATTTTAAGATATAAGGATTACTATAAAGTGATGTTTGAAGGCCATGTATAGTAGACAATAGTACCTTTCATTAAGTGGAGGCATTCTTATCGAGTTGCTCCCGAGACTATTAACAAAACAATGGTGTGGATCAGTTGCATTGATGCCAATGGAATATTTTGATTATGAGGTTTTACCAAATTAGGCGGTTGATTAAGATTGTTGGTATAATGTTTGCAGTGGCAAGAGGGAAGTATGTCCACATATACATAGAAATTGATATTCCTCTTTCCTAGGACTCAGTTTGGAAAGAGTACAAATATAAATATGTAGAGTGGAAAACCTTATATTTTGTATGAATTTGTATTGTATATATTTGCATTTGTATTCTTTTCAAACAGAGCCTAATATACTCGAATCCTTCCAAATGGATGGTCAATGGTGTGGTATTGTTTATGAGAAAAAGCTCTCTATAATATTCACAAAAATGTCTGGTCAGAAGTGTTTACAACTAATCAGTTTCATGAGAGAGAGAGGAATATTTATGGAGAAATTAATTAGGACCCTAAATACAACCACCAGCAACATAATGGTGGTAGATGAGGACTAAAAAACAGGGTAAAAAACATAAACATACCTTGAGTTTTCATAAATTGACTTAAAGGTACCTTGATGAGATTTTCAAAAAGATTTTTTTTAGATTTCTAAAATATACCCTGAAATTTTTAAACTCATGTGGGTGTTAGTTGTTTAGGCATATCAATAAAAACCACCAAAGCAAAGTAGGTCTTCACTCCCCAAAAATAGGATGAAAAACACAAATAAAGAAAGAATTGTGATAGTGCTCCCAAAATGAGATAACAAATGAAATTTTGTTCATTTCTATATGCGAATCCATTCTATCTCTAACTTCGATTTTTTTTTCTTATTCTAAATATTCATGTATCATGGATTCATGAAACCAAGGAAATAGTCTCCAATAATAAAGACTTGAAGATGAATGAACCTACTAGGCTACTATTGACTGTTAATATCTTTCTCTGTAAAATACATTTTTTTTCTCAGAAGTGGGACTTTAAGTTGGAACTGAAAGCTGAAACTATCCCCTCTCTTTTTCAGCCATTAAATCCAGAGTATCAAATGGAATAAAATTCATAGAAGCATTGATTCCAATGACCAAATATTTAGTATTCACTTCTCTCTCTCTCTCTTCTTTTCACACTTATTTAGTATTCCATTTTTCTCTACTCTCCTTTTATCTTCTTCTTCTTCCACCTCACTTATCCTTCTTTTATTTCTGTCTAAAAGGGCAAAATAGGATTTTCAAAATTTTAAACAAATTTACATGTAAGGTTTCATTAATGTAGAGTATGTTCAAGTCCAATGAGGTCAATATTCAAGTCTTTTTGAAAAGATTAGGGTATGTTTAAGATAACTTGTGAAAACTTAGGATATGTTTAAGTCTTTTACCCTAAAAAAAAAAAACTACTGCATTGCCGGACCCAAATGTTCTTTGGGCCAAGTTTAGAGCTACAACCCCCTATGAGTGGAATTGTTGTAAAATTAGTAACGAATGGAGAATGGAACTTATCATTTTGTGCTTTTTCCGAACCCAGAGTGCATTAGTGGTGCATAATCGCTTTAGGAGAAGTTGGTTGTGAACTACAAATTTGCAAACGGAACCTTGCAAAGAGTATGAAAGTGATGAGTCGTGCCACTTGGTCACTCTTTTTAAAATCACATTTTCCCCTTATGGTGCAACTGGGTATTTGCAAATCGATTTCCAAGATGAAACAACCCACAGGCTTATACTAAACATGTACTCACTTACCAGTCTTCTGTGAATCGCCAATGGAAGATGTTTAGAGATGTTGAAAAACAATGGAAAGTGAAAAATGTGATTGTGTGTTATTCTGTACCACTTGGTTGATCAAAACTCTATTTATAGAGTATTTTCATTCACCAAAATGGACACAAAGGTATAACACATAAGCATGAAGAGACACAAAACAAAAATAAAAAAAGATATGGTGTGGCGTACGTGCAAAAGACGCAGGAAGCTTTCATTGGGAGCTTCCCGAAATCAGCCCAAAATAGACTTCATGTGTATTTTCGGTGTCCCATCTTTTGGCAGCTAGGTCTTCCGCATGCCAAACGGAAATAGACCGATTTTCGATCTTCCCAACTTGTAAACAGCCAAAAGACCACACAGAAAAACACGCCAAACAAGCCCAAAGCCTTCCCACCTCTCAGCTTCCGCACTAATCACAAGTTAAATTCCAATTTCCTCTTCCTTCTTCTTCCAAGTTTCAAAACGGAGTTTAATGGTAAGGCCTCTATTAGGTTGACCACCATAATGATTAACCTCTCAAGATAGTATTTTGTTTGTACTGAAGAACACTAGACCCATCATAAAGAACACTAGAGTCTGGTGATAAAAACACCAGATAATCCAAACAGAACAAAAACCAAATCATGTTTCTGGCTTTCTTCTATTGGTGGTTGTGGTGCTGATTTAACATGACAAAGAGTTGATTAAACCTACAAACTACAACATTGTTGTTCCTTTATCAGGCTTATTATAAAGGTCAAGATTCACTTTAATGATGATGGCGTGGGCCTTAATATCTCCGTTGTTCATTTATTATCTTGATGAAAGCTGGTAGAGAGTGATGAGAGCTCCTCGTGCTATCTGGAATGAAATTTCTGCCTATGAAGAGGCTACCATCTAGCACAAGCATGACCGTCCAATCTTCTACCTCTTTCTCTTTTTGCTTGCTCGGAACAAAATTACCTTCTTCAGGGCATCGACAGCCGGACTTTTGATGGTAATCCGATTACGATTAAACCTATGTGGTGGAAAGAGAAGAGCAAGGAGAGTCTGAAGACTATACAGTTTGGATAGAACAAACAGGACAGAGGAAAGTGGGAAGAAGAAAGGGGAGGAGAGAAGGGGGAAGGGGAAGAAGAAAGGGGAGGAGAGAAGGGAGAAGTGGAAGAAGAGAGAGAGAGAAGTGTAAAGGAATATGAGGCAAAAGGGGTTACCGTGGCTGTTATTCGTGTATAGTGAGGTCTGGGAGGATGAATAGTGTTTTTCTCCCAATTGTCCGAATAGTTATTACAAGAGTAGTATGGGGATTAAAAAATATTGCAACGTGTATTTCAATGAAAAGCAAACGGAAGGGGGTCTTTGTCTCACGATCATAGTATAGGGGGGTCTTTGTCGCAAAGCAAAGTATAGGGGGTTCTTTGTCATAGATCCCATAGTACAGGGGGGTCTTTGTAATTTACCCTTTACATTATTTACAGGCTTGAGTTTCGACAAATAAGGTTCATTTAAATTTTGCCAACTTGAATCTATTCAAGTTGTACCCTTAATCTTAAACTTGATTAAACATAGGGGTGCAAATGGATTGGATCATGATCTAATCTTATTTGATCAAATTCGGATCACTTCTATTTGGATCTTCGGATCGGATAATAGGATTTAATAAAAAATTGGATTGGATTTGGATCACCCCCTATCCGATCCAATATATATTATATATTTATAAATATAAATAGATATAATACATACATATGCTATTTATTTATTTATAAATATATTTTTTATATTATACTTTTGTAAATTTGTTATACTATCTATTTTTTTTATAAAAAATATGTATATATATGATGAAAATAATTTTAAAAAGTACTTGTATCTTTTGTTTTTACTTTATTTAAATTAGTATATTTTATTTTTATTTTTAACAATTTATTAACTTTTAAAGAAAACAAGTCAGATCGGATCAAATCCAAAGATCCGACTTAATGCTAAGATTTGAATTCAAATCGAGTCCTATCAGATCCAATTGGATTTTCGGATCAGATCGGATCGGATCCGAGATAAACAATATCAGATCGGATTCAAATATACCCAAATTCAATTCCGGTCCAATCCGTTTGCCTCCCTAATTAAAGGTTAGACATTAGACCAAAATACAAGAATGCCTTTTATATCCCTAGGAGATAGGGATTGGGGATCAAACTTGGACCCAACTCAAGTTGAAAAACCAAAACTCTAACCCAACTCAAGTTCGATTTATCATTTAATGTGACTCATTTACATCCCTAGGAGGGAGGGATAGGGGATAAAAATTCATACAAAGTGGAGCCCGTATTAACTGAAACAATTAAGATTGATTTTCGGAAAAAGTACACTATAATGACTACATTCCATGCATAATTTAAATTTCACTACAGATAGATCTATAACAATTCAAAATGTCAAATATCCCACCCTAAACACCAATATTCCTTCATGTATTGACATTAATTTCCAGTTGGCATCTACCCCAACTGTACGATAAAGCTAAAAATTATGGGATAGGCTGAACGAGATCGCAAGTCTGTGCTTACACCGTTCTAATATCCTTTTGCAACCTTATATTGAGAATATCTCCCTATAAAATAAATACATAAATACAGATATACTGCCAATACAAGACAGTAAAGGCTGTTCGAATGGGCTTTGTCTTGACTGAAGCCGAACTCGGGCTGAACAGGTCATTCTCCCATTGATTTTTTATGTTTTGTTTTGGTTTAACACTACGGGTGGGGGTCGGGTCGGAATTGGACCGAACCTAAAGGATCGGGGCGGTGCCGGGAGTCGCATGGTATTGAATCGGGTCGGGTGGAATCATGGGAGGGTAGGATAATGATTGAGGCGACCCGTGCCGAACCCGACCCGTTGACATGCTGTCATGCTCCTTTGTCCGTAGTCCTCCCTCCGTTCCCTCTCTGATCTCATTTCAGTCTCTATCTGTCGTTCGCTTAGGGTTTTCTGCTATCGAATTAATGGTTCAAGCCGAACCCTTCGTCGCTTCTCCTGTTATCTCTCTGCAACGTCTCTCTCCTTTTTTATTAATATTTGGTTGATTCATCTCTACTTTCTTAGATTTGGGCTTGGTCATGGAATACTCATCGACTCAGAAGAGAAGGGCGGTGGAAATACTAGCAAAGTATGGCGATTTTTGGTAACTCGAATTGCCGAGGTGCTTCTTTGTTCTATTCATGGAGGAATCGTCATCCAGTAAAGCATCTTCTGTTCCGCCTTTCCTCACCAAATGCTACGATATGGTGGAGGATCCTGCAACTGATCCCATAGTTTCGTGGAGTTCGAACAATGATACTTTTATTATATGGGATGTCACTGCATTTTCCCGAGACTTGCTTCCTAAGTACTTCAAACACAGCAATTTCTCAAGCTTCATAAGGCAGCTCAACACCTATGTGAGTCTCTCTCTCTATGCAATATTTTATGTTGGGATGCTGGTTATTTCATTTTTGTAGCTAGTTTATTTGATTATGATTTGGATGATTTATGTTATTCTTAACTAATAGCAGTGAACAATTGGAGAATTTTAATCGTTGAGGGGAACTGTCAAGTTTTCATCTCTTGGTTGTGTACAGAAGTAGTGCCTTGGGAATTCGGGTTTTTAGTTGGGGGGGCTCAGTTATTGGGGAGAAATCTGAACTGCTCGTTCAGATGGATTCCAAGGAGTGCCAATGAGTTTGCTGATGGCCTAGCCAAATCAGGGGTATCAAGACAATGTTCAGTCTGGGACCTGAGAACGCAATGCAAAGCATTCTTGATTACACAAAAAGCAGGACAGGCTACTTCAGCAGTCTCAGCTGATAGCATGTTGAATATCCTTGCTCACCAATCTGGGACAGCATGGTTTCTTTGATGAAGGCCATTATCAAATATTGGTCCCAGCTATCTGGGATCTTTAGTGAGTTTCTTTCTGATGACCATAAAATAGTAACCCAAAACTAAGGTGATATTTGATTGTGGTCTAAAATCTGAAAAACTTGTTTTTTAGAGGTTGGGCCTTTTGTTTGCGTTAACTTTTGAACCATACCTCTGAAAAGTGATTAGGTCTAAGGTGGTGTTCGGAACAGTGGCGTGGATACGATATATTCCATTTTGAAACGTGCCATGCCTCTCATAGTTGGTTGCATCGTGGTGTGGACTGAAACCACACTATATTGTGGAACAGTCCACACCATATCTTAAAATATCGTCCACAGTTAAATCTCGTGGACCTTTCCACACCACGGTGGCCAATTCCAAAATTGATGATTCCCTACTCAAGGTTCAAAGTATCGATAGGATACGCATTTCGGCAGTATCGTATCGGTACTTAGAAACGCTCGAAACTATATTTTTTTTAATTTTTTTTTCGAAGTTTGGTTTTTTGGGAAGCTAAAAAGATTTTTTTTAATTAAAAAAAGTTGGGGTTCTGAAACACCTGGAAACAGGCGTTTCGGATCGTATCGTTTTCAAAAGATACGATATGATACGCCCGATGCGTATCGTATCGATACTTTAAACCATGTCCCTACTTCGTACAATGCATTTTTACCATAACTCGATAATTCCAAAATCGATGATTCTAAAACCATGGACCTTTCCTTTTAATAAATTCTATTAATTTGTACTAAAATTATTATTTTTTTATAAAATTATTTGATTTTATAAAAAATACTACTCTTGGCAATTTACTAATTTTAATATATTTTTGAACTATTTTTTATAATTTTTATCATATCTTATTACTCCTTGTGATTTTTGTTGCTTTTTTAACAAATGGTTTTCATTAATTCTCTTAACTATTCATATTATATATAAATGCATTAATTTGTAATTTCATGGTTAAATTATATTATTTTATTTATAATGTATATTACTTAAAAAAATAGAATATTTTTTATTCTTGATTAACAACATAGGTCATCTCACACATAGGTGAGATGCATGGAATCAAAGCATAGAGTGTGGATTGAAACTACACCACACCTTGCAGAATGCCTATGAGGATGTGGTGTGGTTTAGTCCAAGGTTCAGAATATCGACACAGGCCAATATATATGCCGGATGGGGTGTATCGGCCATTCGGCCTATATCAAAGCTCACCTTCATTTTTTTTTTTTTTAATTTTTTCTCTCAAACTGGTTCAAGGGGGTCGGTTTAAGGCCCACCTACCCCCTGAAATAGGTGGGACCCTGAAACACTGTGTAGGGGCGTATTTGGAGGGGCCCTGACATGTTGCAATATTTCGATCTTTGCTTCAGTCCACCCATTTTTATCCACATTGCAGAACAACCATCCTATTGTGGCATGGTATGGATGTGTCCATGCCACAGGTGTGGTGTGAATGAGAATACACCATTCAATTTCTCATCAACACTACAGAACACCCTCTAATTTGGTAAGAGGTGGCCCATACGTAGAATGTTTTCAGACATGTTTCAGATGGTTAAGATCTTTTTTGCATTGATTTCAGATTTCAGTTTTCAGTTTTATGAAAGTGCCATCTAAGACAAATCTACAAGTGACCCATAAGGAAGCTCCATAGAGGACTCCAATTATTAAAACAACTCTAGTAACTCATTACTGATCCCTCTAAGACTAACTTAAATGATACCAGAAATTACTAAAAATAGTAAACCACGAGTTTACTAAAAGTAGTAATTACGAGAATTATTATAAATGGTAACTCTAAAAGTTATCATAAATGTAATTTCAAGAAAGCAGTGAAAATGAATAAAAAACTGAAATAGTGTCAATATCCTATAACCCAAAAATTCTGAAATTGGTATGGGAATTGGAAAACTGACTTAATTCTCCATTGATTCTTTTGTTGCTTCCATATCTGCATCATTCTCACCCAGTTCGGAAAAACTCGTCCTTGAGTTTTGAAGTGGAAAAGAATTAACAATTGCTTCAAATCGTGAGCTATAGGTTTGGTACTAGGAACCACAAGGGTAATGAAAACATCAAATATATATATATTTGATCAATAACAGAAACTTTATTAAGAATTATGAAGCTTTAGGTACAAAAAAAAGGGGGAGATAAAGAGTCTTATCTCCCCATCAGAAAATTACAATGAAAGAAGATTAAAAAATAGCCTCCCTATTCACCCCTTGCTTGGCCAACCCATCTGTAAAAGAATTAGCAGTCCTTTTCACCCAGCTGTATTGTATCTCAATGCTTCTACATAGCCATAAGAATTTTTTCTTTTCATTATTGTAACTCCACAAGCCACTGTCCTCTTTCTTCAACCAGCTAATCATCACCTTTGGATCACCTTCCAAAATCAGCCGACTGATATTTAGTTCCCTTGCTCTTTGAACCCCTTCCAAAGCTGCAAGGATCTCAGCCCTAATAGAGTCTCCTTCTCCAATAGGGCCTGAGAACAGAGCAATAACAATCCTTTCCTCATTCCTGAAAACTCCCCCAATCCCAGAGGGCCCTGGATTCCTTATGCTACTGCCATCAGAATTCACTTTTATAAATCCGGAGGGAGGAGGGGACCACAAGGGACTAAGAGTCTTCTTATACAGAGTAGAGGTTGCTATCTCTTTCCAGTTTCTTAACAGGTCAGCAATAGGAAAGTCTGAGAACAGTTCCATAGTTTTTGGCCAGTGGGCAGCCCTTAAAAGTATTAGGTCTAATAGTTCTTCTAGGGATTTTTCATTTTCTGAAAATATTCGAGAGTTTCTTTCCTCCCATAGTGACCAACACACGGCTGCCCTAATACTCCTCCACATCATCTTCCCTCGCTTCTTAGGCCATCTGAAAAAAGAAGGGGAGAACAAACCTTGGACACTCTCAGGAGGGTTCCAAGTACACCCAAAGCGAGAAAATACCCACTCCCAAACAGTTTTAGTAACCTTACAAGAGACCAAAAGGTGGTAACCGGACCATATCAATATAATGAAGCTCCTCTTGATCTACAATGGCATCTTTAAAGAAACCAGCTGGCAGCCCATCATTATATTTTGGTTGAAGTCATGTATTAAGTACTTGAAACACATCTTTAGGCATTTCCTTCATAGGCTTAGAATGAGATATCATAGCTTTGATAATAGATGGCTCCAAATCTGGTTGTCCTTATTCCTCTTTATCTCTATTCATAGATCTCACAAGTCACAAGTTAGCTTGTATTTCACAGCAAGCATTGTGAAGTTCTTTTACATAAGGTAGGAACCTAGGATATCGTTTTTTTTTTATAAGTAAAGTAAAATTTCATTAAAACAAAAAGAGTAGTACAATCTGATGGATGACAAGTCATCATCCAAATACAATACAATCTGAAAATCAGAATGAGTTTTCCACATTACAGATTTGAATACCCAGAACCTCCCCTAACTTATTCCCCAGGTCCTCCTTATCAATTTGCCTAAATTCTGAGAGAACCAAGACCCAATCTGCCATGATTCTGCTAATAAGATTTGCTAACATGATCTGCTAACCTGGATATCTTCCCAACTCATTTTCAAGATTCGCTGTGATACTCATATCCCTTGATTTGGTTCCAGTTCACCTAGAATCCAGATATAGCTCTGATGCCTCCAGATACGAATCTAATATCTCAGGATTTGGCTCTGATACCAAATTGATGTAGGACAGGGTAGGGGTCCCACTAATTTATCTAATGATGATGGGCTTTATTAGGGTGAATGAGGGGCTGTAAGTGAATAATGATGAAGAAGCAAGCAGAATGCTTGTTGTTCACCAAAGAATGAGCAAATAATCAAAAGAGAGAGATCTTGCTGTTAAGGTAAACAACAAAGAGACAGATCATTTAGAAAAAGAAATAAGAGGTAGAAATTATCAAAAAAAAAAAAAAAAGAAATAAGAGAGAGATAGAGAGGGGAAAAAGAAAGACTTTTTGCAACAACCAGAATCACTAAACTTGACATTTTATTAGGGCCATAATCACGTCTGGAGAATTATTAGGTATAGAAGATAGGAAACCTTTTGATTGATCAAAAAAAAAAAAAAAAAAAGATAGGAAACCTTTTGTTTTTAATAATAAAATCAAATTTGTTAAAGAGACAAAGGAACAAGGACAGTGATTAGAAATCACCCGAAGGAAAAGAGCAATAAACCCCCAATGAAAACTAAAGCCAAACAACAAAAAGATAGGAAACAAACACCTCACACCCAGAATCTTAAAACTAACACCTGTGCCTCACAACAGGCACCTACTGACCCCTAACTCCAATTGAAACCCTGGAGCGACCAACTAAACAATCTTCAAAAACCAACAAGACCAAACACCACTTTGCTCACTTGCTCAACTTCTTCACAGGCTTGACTATGTTCATGTCTACTTTTTAAATTAATTTTTCCTAGACTTCACCTCCTTATTAGGTCTAATACTAAACAATCCCCCTTTCAATCTGGCAAAAACTTTTGGCAATAGCTCTTTCATTTTTTTTTTTTGCTTTTGAATTGTCTGGACCTAAATTTGCTCATCTCCTAGATCTATCAAAACTTCTTGCATCTTCTAACTTGTAGTTGTAGTTCATTGTAATCTTTGTAGATGCATTTTTTTTTTCTTTCCTAATAACTGTCCTTTTTTGTAGAAGAAAATAGGCAAAAAACTATGCTACAGGAAAGACATGATACCACCTGATTGATTACCACTTTTATGATACTGGTTGATTGGTTAGAGGTATTTCTGGTATCATGTCTTTCCGGTATCATAGTTGAACCCAGAAAATAATGATGTCATTCATCAAAAGAAAGAGCTGAAAGATTTGTTTGCATAAAAACATTTCTTTCCTGGGCTATGTTCTAGAAGTGAAACTAACTACTAGATGGATTTTCATTACAAGGAGGGTAAATGGAGACGTCCCCAACATCTCCCAATAGGGTCACTCATTTTTTATTTTCATCATCATCATATCATCCAAGCCTTGTCCTAATTCCCAATTATATGGGGTCAGCTCCATCATCATCATTTTTTTCCTTTCAGATTTCATTTTATCTTCTGCAAGTTATAATATTAAATTATGTGGATGATAGTTAAACCTATCCATAGCTTTGTTTTACTTTCTATCAGGGTTTTAGAAAAGCTGATCCAGACCGCTGGGAATTTGCAAATGAGGGTTTTATCAAAGGTCAGCGGCATTTATTAAAGAATATCAGTAGAAAGAAGCATGTTCAGGGTCCTGGTCAACAGAAAGAGGCCCAGCAGAAGATGCCTGTTGGAGCGTGTGTTGAAGTTGGAAAGTTTGGCCTCCAAGTGGAAGTTGAGAGTCTCAAGAGGGACAAAAATGTACTCATGCAGGAACTAGTTAAGCTGAGGCAACAGCAGCAAGCAGCTGAAAATAAGCTGCTAGGTTTGCGAAAAAGCCTTCAGAGGATGGAAAAAGCCCAGCAACAAATGTTGTCATTCTTGGCAATGGCCATGCAGAGCCCTGGGTTTTTGGAGCAGTTACTCCAGCAAAATGAAAATAATTGGAGAATGGCTGGAGCAAGCAAGAAGAGACGACTTCCTGCCCTGGAACAAGGTTTTGAGGGTGGTGAGGCTGAAGTTTCTAAAGGGCAAATAGTAATGTACCAACCACCAAAGAACAACACTTCAAAGCCTCTAGTAATGACAGTTTTAAATACAGACGTGTCTCCAAAGGTGGATGTTAATGATTTTGTTAGGAATGATTCCATGGAATCACCGACTGGAGAAGGCTTGCACTCTCTAGAAAATGATGCTCAAATTATCATCTCGGGGTTACTTAGTGATGATTTACTGGAACAACTTCTTGTTGATAGTCCATTCACAGAGAATCTTGTAGAAACTGAGCTAGATGCCCCAGAGTCTATGAACACGGGAATGGATATGGATGCAGTGGTGCATGATTGTCAGTTGGAGACTAGTCAAAATATGGACCTCCTGACAGAACAAATGAGTCTTCTAGCATCTGAAACCAACAGCAGGCATGAAATACTGTAGAAGAATTAATGGATCTTGCAGTGGTGAAGAGACCTCTACAGAAACCATCTTATACTTTGTATAGCATACTTCCAAAAGAAAAAACGGCCGATTTTGTACATCCGAGGTTGCAAGAGGACTTGACTTTTTTTCTCCTAAGGGCCCGTTTGGTTGGTGGGAATAGGGATCTGGAATCGTAATCAGATTGGGCTATTCCAATTCCAACTGTTTGGTTGGATGGAATCAGAGTCCTATTGCCATTCCCTCCCTCTTCCTCTGAAATGAAATCCTATTCCAGCTTATTCCAATTCTAATTCTGATTCCTTTCTGCACCAATCAGATTATGGGTATGCACCATTCTGGTTCCGATTTTAAGGGATTTTGATTCTTATTCTGATTCTGATTTTGACTGCAAACCAAACGACCCTAAAACTCAGTTTTTCATTCTTTCATACTTTTTCTATATATCTTATTTTTTCCTTGTTTTTGGCTAGCATTAAGACTGTTTGGTTTGAAGGAAAAGGTAGGGAAAGTGGGAAACTATACAAACCTACCTTTTCCTTCAAACCAAAGACAGCCTATCTTTCACGTTATTATTTGTCTACCCTATATTATCTATGGTATAAACTTTAAAATATATTTAAAATCTATCAGGCTGAGGAACAAGATTCATCAAAATATATAAGATAAAATATGTTCATCATATATACATGCATACGCAAGATACAGAATTTATTCTGAAGTGAAAGGGGAAAGATACAGAAATTGCTCGTTACAGCAAACAAGAATAAACAAGAAACTAATTATCAAAAAGAAAAAAAAAAAACAAGAAACTGATAAATATCCATTGAATGAAAGAGTTACTTGTCAAGGGGAAAGAGATTAAGGTGACCCAAGAGCTTCTGCAAGAACATACTCTGCAACTCGAAATCACTGGACAGTCTGCCATGTTGCCCTGTCAATGAATTGTAGCCTTCACCGTGCATGGAACGCTCAACATTTTTCAAGCTCGATCAGTCACTCTCACTGCCTAAGTAACGGACACGGTGAAGGCTGATCTTAGCTTGAAAAAGGCTGATCTCTCCATGTAAACTTCTCTCTCTCTCTAAGTCAAGAAGGAAATACTCTTTGAAGACAAATAAGTGATGTAATATATATAGGTGAGAATAAACTGTACACCAATGCTAAGTTTGAGTTTCCCTGTTTCTCTACTTTCCTTTGTGAAGAAGGATTCCTTGTAAATGAATAATATTGTTAAATCTGTTAATATTAACTGACAAAACGTTTCTTTATTAAGAGATGGTTAAAATCATACGAACAAATTGTAAGGGTAAAATATAAATTCCTCCCCTTAACTTTCTGACAATCATAAAAACCTTTCCTATAGTTTCATTTTAACAAAAACCTTTCTGCTATTTTTTAAAAAATTGACAAAAACCTCCATTCTGATAATGATCATGACAGAAAACGTGTATAGTTACGAAATTACCCCTAAACATCATCTAATCATTTTGTAAAGTACCATATTTGCCCTCAATAACCTCCCCGCTCTTCTCTTCTGTCTCCCCACCGTCCTTACACAACACCGAACCGCCCCCACAGCTGGAACCTCCACCGCCCCTACACTAATCGGACCATATCAGTAATTGTCTTTGCAGTTCTTTGAGATAAGTGGGATAAACTAAAGCAAGGGAAAAGAAGCAAAAAACCCATTATTCTGGGACAATCAATAATCAAGAGCCATGTTGATTATTCAATTGCCATAATAACACAGTGGTAAAGAAACAAGTTTAGATTTCGATAAAAATTGGTTATTTGGCCACAAAAACAGAGGACCACTTTAGCTTTCAAAAACCGAGTGAAAGGGAGAAGGGCATGTAAGCACTGGAACTCCAATAACATTTCGCATCTGCGTGACCTTTCTCATCGTCAGCCTTAGTGATGGCTCTTCATGAATGCACCAAAATGCAACCCTTAGGAATCTCTCCAGTAGATATCTAACCTGCTTTGACAGCAGCAGTTGTAAGCCAAATCTGTTAGAATTTCTCCGTTGTCATTTTCGTCAATTTCTGTTGGAATGTTCTTCCTACAATAGATGATCTCTAGCAACAAGACCTCAAAGCTATATATATCAACCTTCGTAGTGATTGCCATACTCCTTTTATTTATTTATTTTTTTTGAGAGAAAGGTAACTGAATTCATTAAGAAAAGAGAAGGGTACATAAGAAGGTGTACACATATAAAGAAAAGAAAAACAAAAACAGGGATCAAATCTGTAGGAATTATACAGGAGGAAACTTCAAAGTATAAATCTTCTAACAGAGCACCTAATTTTTCTAGTCCATCTACAAGAGCATTAAGTTCCCTTGGAATCCAAATCAAGTTTGCATTATAAGCAGTCAGTAAATCCCTTGCCTTCGTTAGAAAGTGTCCAAGTCTCCACGGTCTGGTCTCTTGTTTTCCTAACCATTTTATAGTGTTTCCCTAATAACTGTATGAGTTCGACTCTGGTTATTCATCAAAAGCTTTGCCAATCCAAAGTCGGAAATCTTGGTGTAAAACAATCATCAAGAAGTATATTTTCACAATGGATGATTTGGGTTCTACACTCTTCATGCAAATACAGGAGCCCTCTTGCAGCTCCAAACACAATATGAGTGCGTTGGTTCCAATTGGGCTTTGGAGTTCTGAAAAGGAAGCTTGCTAAAGCACCATTGCTCATGAACTCATACACAAGAAGTCGATGTTGTCCTCATTGCAATACCCAATCAATCAGACTAGATTCTTGTGATGGGTCTATCCAATAACACCTACTTCTGTTCTGAACTCTTGCTCGCGCTCTTGAATTACTCTAACTTCTTTACTGCAATATCGACCCCTTTATAAACAGTTCCAAAAGAATCCCTTCCTAGCTCTTCGCTAAAATCACTTATAGCTTCTTGGAGGTCTTGCTAAGTAAAAGAGGATGTAACTTCTACAATATTTCTTTTTGGTTAAATTGATTTTGGTTTGTTGCAGTAAGTTAAGAAAACAAACAGGGTAGTTACAACTATCAATACCAAGTTAACAAAGACCGATCGAGCTACCCAAAAACAGCGAGGTGATGATGATCATTATCCTTCTCTTGTCTTTCTTTACATGGAGATTGTCTACTCTTACTTTGAGGAGAGCCTTTCCATTAATGTTTCTATTTATCCTTCCACTTGAAAGTGGTAGAGTCTTCTTCCAACAGGTCTGACCTGTGAGAACTACAACACACCAGTGAGTGTGATCGCCAACGAGAAAAACGAAGGAGTGGCAAATAGAGTAACGAGAGTGAGACTGAGGGAGAGAGAGAGAGAGAGGGCAGGTTGGGCAGCGATCCTAATGGCTTAGCTGCTTCTCTGTCGGTGAGGTGGCAAATAGAGTAACTAGGGCTGCAATTTTTGTAGGCTCAGCATGGGTGGGGCTTGGGTTTTTGGTCTCTTGGCTGGTCTTGGGCCAAAAATACTCGGGTCCAACTTAAACTCGATTGGGCTTGGATTGAACTCTCAGGAAGCCCAAGCCTGGCCTGACCCAACCGTTCTAGTCCATCAGTCAACAGCAAAGCAGGATAGTCCCTAGAAATTTGAGCCTAGGGACATATATACAAAATAATACAAAATATAAGGTTTTGTATTTTACATATTTGCATTTGTACTCCTTCCAAACTGAGTCTAGAGTCCCAAACACCCAATCCCATTTATAGAAATTTGAAATATTTGTCTTTCACTTGGGCTTGGACTGCTACAGCTAACAGCATGTACAATGGGGCAGCCGTCCAAAGAGTAGGGGTATAAGTTCGGTTGCACAATTTCAAGAATTTTAAGGGATAAGTGGACTGCAATCCACCTCAGAAATATAAAATTGCAGCCTCCTCCTAGTCTATTAGTAGCCCCCCTATAAATCGCATCCTGCCCGTGAATTTGACATCAATCCACGGGCAGGATTCAGTCCACCCCTAGAAATCCTAGTTCCACCCTAGGGGAGGACTGAACTATAAAAACTCCGAATTTCAACTAAATCGGGCTTAGGTTAGGGTTAAAGCTCATTGAAAATTTGACAAATTCCCAAATCAACCTGACCCAAGTTGCAACCATACTAAAGAGATGATCATTTAAAAGTTAAAACTTCAATAATCAAGCAGTTTTGCCAGTCTTTAAGATCTCTTAGGATCCGTTTGGTTTACAGTCAGAATCGGAATCGAAATCCTCCAGAATTGGAATTGGAATGGTCCATTCCCAAGGGAAGGGCAGGGAATGGCCATTCCCTTATGGGGGAATGCCATTCCAGCAGAAATGGGCCACCCAACCAAACAGTTGGAATCAAAATAGCCCATTCCGATTTCGATTCCAAAATCCTATTCCCACGGGGACTTAAATCTTCCTTCTTCACTTGGGTGGGATGTTCTGGTTCACTCTGCAAAAGGGAAGAGAATTACTACACAACATCATCCTCACCAACTCTATCCCTATCTTCCAACGTCTCCATTATCACAAATACCAACAACATACACAGATCTGATAACCCAGAGGGATTTCAAAAAATTAAGAAAAACATGAGACTCGCACAAACAAGAGACGAGAGAGAAGAAGACTCGCACCAACAAGGTTTAAGTGCACTTTTAAGTAAGTACCGAAAAAAGTGCACTTTTAAGTAAAGACCGTTGATATTGGAGAGCAAGTGATTAAATGATAGGCATAGTGGAGAGCCATTGGATCTTTTGAGTAAATAGACTATGCAAACAAGGTTCAAAATATCAACAAACATGATACCAAGTAATTGTGTTTTGTGTGTATCGATTAGTTGTTACTCATTTTATGTTTTTTTTTTTTCTTAAATTTTCTGCAGTTTGTTAGTTAAAAGTGGGCTTGTTAGGATGGATATTAATATTCTGGATTTTGGTGACCTTCCATTACCAATGCAATATGTGTCCATGTTTTAAACCTAGTGTTTAGATGATTTGTGCCATGAAATGTGTCCATCTAGCTAGCTGATCAAGTGCTTAGAGCGAGTTGAAATCAGCCCCCCACAAAATAGTTTCCCACAGTCTCACAGCACATCCCCATTGTGTATTGGAAACATCCTTCGATGATGCTTCATCATTTTTGGTATTATCATCAAGAGATGTGTTTAATACATGGCGGGAATGTGCTGTGGAACGTTGTGGGAAACTATCTTATGTAAGGCTGATTTGGACTTGCTTGGAGCTTGGTGGTTAATGTTTAATATTTCTTCCCTTTTTCTTTTATAAGTCTAACGGAGTAGGTTAATATTTAGTTGCTCTTTCAACCAAGTGTACTTAAATATTCAACCCCTTGGGAATTGTTTTCAACCTATCGGAAGGGTGGTTGAGCCATTGAACCATTGACCTGGCCAGATGATGATGTCCTGATTTTTTTAGTGGTTTTGGAGTTTAGATATGGTCCTAAATTGATCTACTATGATATGAGAAAAACTTATAACCAATCAACCAGTATCGTAAAAATAGTACGGTGTTTAATAAAATTCAAAGTTTTTGATTGATCAAAGCTTTTCTATTATATATCTTTCTGGTATCATAGATTTTCCCCTTGATCTAATTCTAAAGGTTTTTAAAAATGAACCGGAAACAGAATTGGTTTCCGATTAAGCAGTTCAACCGTCCGAGATCAAATGGTTTGGCCCATGACATTATAAATAAATTAAAAAATAAAAAATATATGTTCAATTTTGAGAAACACCCGACCTTCAGTCCTTTGAACCTGAAGGTATAAAATTAAAAAAAAAAAAAACAAAACTTTTGGGGTTCCCAATTGAGGCTCGAAATTGGTGGTTCCCAAAAGTTGCAGATAGAACAAGCATGGGAGAATAGTGGGTAGGAAATATACCATAACCACCAGTACATGTAAGGTTGCAAAATCGCCGCTGCAAGTTAGTCGTCGGACTTGTTACTGCCGCAACCCACAATTGTTACTACTGGATCTGTTGCAAAATCAACGACTCAACGCTGTCTGTCGTAGACGAAGCTCACCACCGTCGCCGGTCGCCGTGAATCACCGTCGGTCGCTGTGTGTCACCGCAGGTCGTGGCCGACGTAGGTGGTCGGTTGGGTGTGACGGATGAGAGAAGGGAAGGGTTAGAACGAAAATGAGGTCGTTCTAACCCTAAACGTAAGAGATGGGATTGGGGATATGGGATCATTTTGTTTTTTGTTTCTTTTTATTTTATTTAAATCAGTGAAAATAAAAATGATAACCCACGAACTGCTGCCCGGGTTGAACGATTTAGAGGTTTGATCGCCCTGGTCAACGGTTTTAAAGATTTATCGGTTTATAGTATAACTAGACCTAGGGGGCTGAACGGTTACCAATTTTTCTGGTCCGACCGTCCGGTCCAATCCGGTTTTGAAAACCATGCTAATTCCATAAATAAAGTGGATTTGTTGACCTATTTTTTGTAATGGAACAAAGATCTGGATCGTGTCGGGATATTGGATCTGATGAGCTTCATTTAATGCCCTGGTCAAAAATAGCTCCAATAATAAGTTACCCTTAGGTTGTATGTGGTTAGATTAACATCCAAACAATCAAAGAAAAAGAAGATTAAGGCTGAATTTGGAAGGAGTACAAATGCAAATATGTAGAATGCAAAACCTTATATTTTATATTATTTTGTATGTATTTACGCAGTACATATTTGCATTTGCATTTGTACTCCTTCCAAACTGAAATTGCTTAAAACTTTCCATGTCTAAATCTCATTCATTTGCAGCTCTACCCTGGTTCCATAACAGGCTTATATGTCCCAACTTGATCTATGCAAAAAGAAAAAAAAGAATAAAAAAAAAGAGAAAAGAATAATAGACCGAGTTTTGAAAAGCAGAGCTAAATAATTGCTGGGCATTGGATCTGATGAACTTTATATAAAGCCTAGTGAAAATGGTTCTAATTCACAGAATATACTATGAATCTAGATGAACATACATCAAAGCCAATCAACGAAAAGAAATAAACTAAAGAGGTCAAAGTAAGGTACAAGAGTGCCACTTTATTAGGCACCTGATTACGCTTGTACAGCTTTGGCCATGCCAAAAGCAGCGGCGGAAGCAATGGCTCCGATCAAGGCCGTCTGGAAGGCACTTCTAATGGGCCCGTTGCCTGTGAAGTGGCCCTTTCCGTAGCCAAAGAGTAGCAATGCAATTAAGGTAACGCCCACAGATGTGAGGACTGCGTTTCTAGCAGTTGGAATGAACATATATGGGATGAGCGGGATTAGGCCGCCCGCTATGTAGGCGATGGCGATAGTCAGTGCACTCTCCAGTGCTCTCCTTGGCTCTGGCTTCTCCAATCCAAGCTCAAACCTGCGTTCATGGTTATTGTTTTAGTTTTTTATTCAAGGTTTTAAAAACCAATTTAGAATTGGAATCGTTTTAGCCATTGGTTTTTAGGTTAATGGTTTGATCGTCCAGTTAAAATGGACGATTTGTTTTAATAAAAAAATAATTAAAATAAAAAGCAGTTAAAAACTGTTGAACGGGTTAATGATTCAACAGCTTGAGTCAATGGATCACTGACCAATTCAATGGTTTTTGGCCAAAGACCAGGTTTGAGGTAAAACAGAACCAATTGCCTGAATGATTCTCAGGCCGAACGGTTCGACCATCCAAATCAATGACTGTTCAAAAACATTGATTTCATCAGATCGGTTGGTGTTATGGTATATGTACTACTACTCAGGCCTTCTTGGGAGGGCCGAGCTGAAGATTCAGCTAATTAAGTCGGTCACTCTAGATAAGCTATTCAATGAGTTTGAGGCGGACAATCCTTCAAATGATTGATTGATTTCATTGATTGATGATTAGGGGCTAAGATTTGTAAGGGTGGACTGAACAATAAAAACCTCTTAATGAATAGCTTATAGGCTTGTTAGTGTGAGACCCATCCTGGAAAGTCAAAAACGGCTTTGATTCAGCCCTCCCAAAACGGGCACTTAGTGGCTTCTGTCTTGATGCCCGTTTGGGAGGGATTTCACTCAACAGCTTCTGGCATTATTAAGTGGGCCCCACCCAGACAGTTTATAAGCCATATTAGGTGAAAATCCTGGAGAGTCCAAAATTACTGTCCCGATGCCAAAACATGGCTTCTCACTGAAGCTTCTTTGGGCCGCTTCCCCAGATCGGTTCTACAAATGTTTTAGCCCTCCCAAACGGGCCATTAATGATTTAATAAAAGATTTTAAGTGATTTTGTATTAATTATATTAAATCGTGATCGGGATCGGATCTTCTATTCTTAGAATATGGAATTGATGCTAATGCACGTATTAGTAATTTTATATTAATAAAATATTCCTCATGTGTAGAGTTTTGGGGTTTGCATAGCAACCATAGGTAAAATTGTTTATATTCATTAATTAGAGATTTTGATGCGTTAAAGTGTTTGAGGTATGTTACTTTTTTGGGCTATGTACCTTTTCGGTACCATGAAAATTGCTGACTATCACCATGGAAAATCTGGCTAATGTCCCCTAAATAAGGTGCCTTCATCAAGGGGGTGTTTTACGGCATAAATTGTTTTTATTGTTGCGAATTCCAATAATAAATCAATATCATCTGATTTGAAAACAGATTATTTATCAAATTAAAGATATAAACAAATTTCTTATTTGTATATATGTTTTTATTTTTAAAACTGAAAAGAAAATTATGTAATTGAATTTCTGATTTCAAAAACATGTTTTTATTGAGTTATTTAATATCATGTTCCATAAATCATATAATTTATTCGTTATAAAATTTATTTTTGTTTTAAAAGCCACTGTTTTGATTATTTCAGAAAAAAACATTAAAATGAATCAGTTTATTTTTTCCTTTCAAAACAAACAAAAAATATACATGTTGTGGAACACCCCCAAATCAGTAATGAGGTGACAAACCTAAGATAATATGTGTGTAAGCTAAAAAACTGATCCTCCATCAGATAGGTCTCACTAATAGTTATGCCAAAATTCAGCACAATCAAGTTATTTCAATAAGACATGTTTGCTTAGAAAAATTTAATATATAAACTGTTAATAGAATTAAAAAGGGCAATTTACTTGGACACTCCTATAATTTTACTTATTGAAACCTACCTTTTAGTTTAGTTTGTGTACCATTTATATCATGGAAATGGTCACAATGAGGTCTTAGAAGGAGTGGAAGATGTGAAAGAGCACGAGTCCAGAGTTTTACTTCTAGGGGTATTTTTGGAACAAAATCCTTCCTTTCAAATTTTCACTCATTTTAAGATTTAAGAAGTCACATAACCATTCCTAGATAGGAATATAAATAGTTTCTCATGGAAGATCGATGGCGTCTGTTTGGAACTGTTGCTGTTGTTCCAGAAAACAGCACCACATCAGTGCCATATAGGAAAAAACGGTGCTCTAAGAAACAACCTTCTGTTTGGAACCATTTTTCTATAGAAAATGGTGCTCTAGGCCACACCTGGAAAATCGGGAAGGAATGGTTTGGAGCAACGCCAAATTTGGCGTTTCCTAGAGCTGCAGCTCATTATTGCCAACAAGGCAGTGATGTAACAGTAGATAATGGGTAGAAGTGCAGAAAACGTTTCCTGGAGCATTGGTACCAAACAGAAAAAGTTGCTGTTGATTCAAGAAACGTCTTACCTGGCAGCAACGGTTCCAGACAAAAAAAGACACCGTTTTCTCAGAAAACAGTACTCCAAGCCACACATATGCAACTGCAGCATTGATGCTAAACATTTACTAAGTAAAACAGATGCATACTAAAGGGGTGTTTTCATAATATGCAAACTAGAGGGTGGGTTTTATAACAAATATTTGAAACTATAGTGGGTGTCAAATTAAATGATTCAATTAAATAAAAAAAAGCTAGGATGGTGAATCCAAATACTATGAAACATGAAAACGCCCCTATTTCATGTAGAGAGAGGATTTTTCAAACATGTGATATTTTATGTGAAACCTATTTAATAGTGAGTCCAAATCCTCTCTCTACATGAAAGATGAAACCCTTGGTGATTGAAGGGAATCTCATTTTACTTATACTTGTGATGATAAAATCACACTCATTCTAGTTCTACCTTGGCTCTGCTAAATAGAGCTTTTATGCTAGCATTATAGTGATCAGGGTTTCCTTTTGAATGCCTAGAAACATGGTGTAGCTTCTGCTGCTGAGAGAATGGGGCCCATCTCATTGGTGGCTAGAGTTTTCCGGTACCATAAAAATTGCTAGTTAAAAAAAGGAGAATTAACTTACTTCATCATGAAATCAAGCCATGCTTGAGGCTTCTTCCGGAGGGCGTTCACCACCGGCCCATATTCATGTGGCTCAAGCCCATATTCCGCTAATATCTCTGCAACCTCAGCTGCCTCTGTAATATCAACATTGTACCCATTATCATCAGCACCCCGTGCACATGCTCGTATTCACACCGTTTCAACAGCCTCTTTTGTAATTTTGCATTGAGAATATCTATCCGTGAAATTATAAAGCACATAATTAAGGAGATATTCTCAATGCACAGCTGTAAACGTTGTTTAAACCGATTTTGCCCTCACCCAAGCCGGACTCCTTCCTCAAATAAATCACCCATCAAGAACACAGTGGTCCCACTATCGTGATTACCTGTATCAGGCACATTGATTATTTCATCTTGTTCTCTCTTGAGCTCCCTCATGTAGTGATCAGCTTCACTTTGGGCAGCAAGATACCTGCCAACAAACCCCAACTTAAAGCTGTAATAGTTGGACCTCGGTGTGCAAATTGGTATCATACCCAGGAGCACAAAGTACAACCGGGTCAACAGATAACTAAATAAATTAGAAACCAACCGGGTCAACAGGTAACTAAATAAATATCATAAATTGTTTACCAAATATAAATAAATATCATAAATTCATGTGATTAATTGCATATGTCCAAATCTATGACCATTGGATCAGTTGTCATGTGTTAATTAAGGATGTAGGACAATGCAGTATGGACTTATGGTGGCCACGCGCTCCTTTAAATTACAAAACGACAAAACAGCAGTTTGGTTTGGTGTAAGTCTTGTAAGAGGGGCCTCCTACAAGAGGTGTCCTGTTTTCAGACATGAGATTGGAATCTATTGAATACTAACTATTGAGGGAACCATGAACCAGTACCACCTTGAATCTCCTCTAATCCTGCACCATCTTAACCTATGCTCCCTGGCGTATGTTAAATGCTAAAAGATGTGACTTTCACACGTACATCGGAGACAGAGAGAGAGAGAGAAAAGGGTTGAGTGGCAGTGCAATGAATGTAGGTTTTCCGGTGGAAAGAACTGCATTTAGTTTCTAAAAGTTTCAAGAAGAGAGGGAAACCTCGAGAAAACAATGGCACTCTAACTCTAGATCGATCTCATTCAGACAAAATTCTTCTTAAACAAAAGAAAACGAAGAAATTGCAAAAATACCCGCCAAGTCCCATGGAGATGGCGCCAGCGGCGACTTCAGCGAGACCGGCTGTAAGGATGACAGAAGAAGAAGCGTTGGCACCGGAGAGCCCGGCGGCGAGAGCAAAAGGGACGGTGAGGCCGTCGGATATGCCGATGATAGCATCTCTGACGACTTCTCCCGCCATGAAATGCTTCTCCTTGTGATGGTGCAGCAGCTTATCCGATCCCGTGTCTCTCCCGTCCTCCATTTTATCAGGAAAAGAGAGAAAGACTGAAAGAGAGAGAGAGAGAGAGATTGATTGATTTCAAGAAGAAAATAAAAACAATAAAGAAAGATTGTTGTCTGTGAGAGCAAAGAACGAAGAAGGATTGATGATTACAGAGCATGGTGTTTGGAGGACTTCATATATATAGAGAGAGGGCGCTGGACTCGGGGAGTAGTGGCGGATTGGTGGTTCTGTGCTCTTTCTGTGGTCGAAAATCAAGAGTTAATGGTTTTAATATTCTGGATACAGTTTTGCATTTAATTACTGGTAATACCACTAATACCGAATGTTGAAATTTAGGCGGGTCCAACCCGAGCCCGAACTGATTCAACCCGAGCTTCTGTACGAATATAGTGAATTACGCCTGAAGTTTCGTCTAGATCTGAAACTCCCAAAGTCCCAACGAAAAACTATTTCAACAAGTTCAAACATGATCTGGTGGGTCCCAAAAACTCAATTTTATGGTGAGACACACAGATCAGAAGAGTGTGGGAACAGTTTGGACTTTGGAGGAGATTCCATCTCCTCACATTTCCCTCAGGGGTGGGTCCATTTAAATCGACAGGCGAGATCATTTCGACCCTGGCCCGGAGCTCTATGGCCCTATGGACTGTAACAGCAGTAGTGGTGCGTAACTACGGACAAAAGTTTGCAGCCTTTTTTTCGCTTTAATGTAGGTAAGGACAGAAAATGAAAGGAAAAGTAAACTTTTTATCGGTGACCCCTTTCTGTATGGAATAAGATCCAACAAGGAATCGTTTTGATAGGCCCCACCAGCAAAATACAAAAATCTCTCCTAAAGTTTCTCATAATCATAAAAAACCTCTCTTAATATTCCATTTTAGCAAAAGTCTTCCCTAAATTTTTAAATAATTAAACAAAAACTTCCCTTCCGTCAATAATCCTGACAGAACTGTTTATGACGCTCCAGCCAAAGATAACTGCATGTGGGAAAACGATTGCAGCGTTCGCCATGGCCGTGTGGTTTCTAACGGGCCCAACAGTAATGGCTACGGCTTCCACTGTTGTTGGATTACGAGGCCAGCTTCTCCACATCATAATTGTACAGGTCGTGCTCCCTCAAGGGATCGTCCCTTTCAATTTCATCTTCGCCAAACAGTATAATGTCCATCTGGATCTGGCAATAAGAGAGTTAAATTCAGTTTTGATATGTCGTTAATTTGGGAAAATCTATAATGTAGGAAAGAAAGATATGATATGGAAAGAGTTTAAATTTTAGGTTGATGTTTGGAATGCTAATAACGCTGCCGATCACTTTGATTTATTATCGTATTTAGAGATAGATGTTTTAACACTACTTCAAGAAAAGGAAGAAGACGCAAAGGATTTGGGTGTGTGTGACACATCAAACGACGATTTTCCCTGGATATGGGTGTGTGATACAAATATAGCGCACTTTATAAAATCTTTAAATGATGCCTAAAGGGTAATTTCATAAATGGTGGAGTTTTCCATCTGGTCATTGATGAAAAAAGGGAGGATTTTGTTTAATTATTTAAAATTTTAGGGAAAATTTTGCTAAAATGAAATTATAAAAGAGGTTTTCATGATTGTTAAAAATTTTAGGAAAAATTTCCGTTGGGTACTTTATACTTTAGGTCCGGTCCAGTACCAATTTAATATCCAAACTTTAAAATGTCACAATTAATATTCGAATTTTTATTTTACTACAATTTAGTACTTGGCATTAATTCACCGTTAAGTGTCATGGAAAAAGACACAAATGTCCCTTAAAATCGACGGCTGGCTGTAAGACTGCCTCACACCGTGCGCAACTCCCCGAGAAGATGACACTGTTCATCGTCTCTGAATGCACTGTTCAGAATTATCGGGAATATTCTGAGCCATGACAAAATAAGAAAAATGCTCATTTACCAAAAAAAAATTAATTGTTCAATTATTAAAGGAACTTCCATGATAGACGATCTAGAACTTGGACCGTTGTACGTCGATTGTGTGAACTGTGAAGCAGAGCTAGCATGAACCTCTTTTTTGTTTTTTTTTGTTTTTTTTTTTTTTGCATTTTCTTTGTTTTAGACACTTTTAGTTGCTGTTGCAGGAGGGTTTCAAGTCAAGCATTTCCCTTTCTCCAATGTGATTTTCAACATGCCGAAATGCAAAATCCGGCCCTTAAAATTGCGTTTTAGGCATAATTTCAGCCCAACTCACAAGTAGACCTAACCCACAAAAGCCTTCAAATTTATTGGACAATCGAAGGGAAAATAGTATGCATTTGATCGTCAGATGATAGAAGAAATCAAAAGAAAAAAAAAAAAAAAGATCGTCAGATGATAATTCAGAGAGACCACCCCTCGATAAAATGCGAATACGCCAATGTTTCAAAGAAAAAAAAAGGAAAAATAACATCAACTACTATTTGGTTTAAAACATCGGTGTCGTGGCGTCTTCTTCGTTGAACAGCGGCGACACTCTTTCTTGTTTCGTTGTTTCTGACTGTTCACCGTTACTGTTTATCGTCTCCTTCGTTGAACAGTCTCAACACTCCTTCTCGTTTCGTCAGGGTCGCCTGCGCCCGTGGTTTCTGACTGTTTATCGCCACTGTTCATCGTCTCCTTCGTTGAACAACGAACGACACGCTTCGCCTGCTCCCTCCCCGTGTCCATTAGCGCTCCTATCCTGAGCGAAGAGAAGGCGAAAAAACACCACCAAGCAGGGCTTCTATTGGTACGCAACAATAGAGCAGGTAAAAAATTCGGTACGCAACAATGGAGCAGCAAGCCATTTAGATTCTGTTAATTTTATTTTACAGGGTAATTTTAATATTTTTAAAAATCTTAAATCGCATGTGAGGTCACGTAATATATATAACTGACGGTACTAAACTATCATATTTTAAAATTTGAGTACTAAATTAACAATTGGCCTAAAGTACGAGATACCTATCCCAAATTTTTTCAAAACTATAAGAAAGATTTTTGTATTTTACCTTTTTTTAATGTCATTCTTCTGCATCTTTATCTTTATCCAGAAAGAAAACTTCTGCACAAATATGACACCAGTTATTTTTCCAGGAGGCCCAGGACCATCTATCTTATCACATGCCATTTATTTCAGTCCACCTTTGAATAGGAAAATTGTTTTCCCCCAGTGTATTTACGATCCACTCCTCCTATAAATACCGTATCCCTTGAATTTGGCTTCTTTCCCTTTGATATTTATCCAAATCAATATTTTAAAAAATAATTCAGAATCAGAACTATTTTGACTATCAGTTTCTAGGTCGATGGTTCGAATGAACAGTTTGTTCCCATAAAATAAATTAAAATAAAAAATAATTATAAGTTAAAAATATTTAAAAACTATTAAATAAATCAATAGTTTGGTTGTTTGGATCAATGAATCGTTGATCGATTTAATGATTTTTGACTAAGGACCAAGTTTGAGGTAAAACAAAATCAATGGTCTAGATGATTTCCAGGCCAAACAATCCGACTGTCCGAATCACCAACGATTCAAAAACCATGATCCAAATTATACAATAAAATTATAAATTCTGAGGTGGAGTGGATCATAAAATCCCCCCCAAAAAAACGAATTATTTTGCTAAAAGTAGTAAAAATCCTGAGTACATGCTATTCGTGCTGTGCCACTAATATGACATGTTCATTTGTGATTAGTTTTGTAGCAACTAGCAAGTGATGCACAGCGCAAGCAGCGGACCTGGGCTCACTAGTCTTATGTAATACAGCAACCGCAGCACTACATGCAGCAGAGTCAGTACGGACTCCCAGATAGGCCAAAGTCTTGTAAAACAGTCGGGCCTAGTTGTAAGCCCATTAAAAAATTGGGCTAGGCTTGGCCTGTCCAAGTAAGAAATTATTATTTACGTTTGATGATAGGTCGGGCCAAGGAATGAATTTAATATGCTCTTCGCAGAATGCGCCTCACATTAACCTTACAATACATTACGTTGTAGCTGTACATTAGAAATATCTCCCATGAATGATACTTAAAGTATGGAGATGTTTCAGATGAGACGGGATCTGCTCCTCACGAATGGGCATCTTACATGCACATTCACGGTGCATTAAGAATATCTCTCATGAATAATAATTAATAAGTGTGGGAGATGTTTTCAATGCATGGTAGGATGTACATGTGAGGCGCCTGTGAGGCGTCAGGTGGGAGGAGCAGATCCGGTCTCGTTCTAGATGTACAACTCTGAGAAGCATTCCGTGAAGAGCAAATCTGAACTGTAAGGAAACTTGAGTGTGCCACCACCACTAGAGTAAGCTTCAAAGGACAACAGAACAGGTTTTTGTGAACTGCAAATGCCAAATGGCATTCCTTTGCCCAATTTGAATTTGTTTCCATTAAGGGTAATTTGAATTTGATTTGTGTATGATATGATGAAATATAGATCCACCCTTGTCTAATTTCCTAAATCAATTCAATTCGATTTATATGTATAATATGATGTAGTTATCGTTACCAATGCAAATTTATATCAACAGGAAATGTAAAAAAAGGAGGTTTAATGACTCTTGAGATTGATATTTTTTAATTTTTAGTGAAGAAAAAGAAAGAAAAAAAAGAGGCTTAGGCTGCATTTGACATTTCTTATTTTAAGGACTTATCACCTTTTTTGCAATTAAAATACCATCTATGAATATTAAGTTTTAATTGCAAAAAGGAGATAAGTCCTTAAAATAAGAAATGCCAAATATAGCCTTAATGACTTGTTTACTATTTTACATTTGTTGGTTTGATCAGAAGTGGTGTGAAATGATAAAAGACTGCATTTCTTGTAATAGATCTTTCTATGCTGATAAATGGGTGATCCATCCCCCAATCCCTTTAACCCTCAACCCTGGTGGAAGCGGATTCATGGGTTTTGTGCTGATTGAAGAGCCCCAAGATTTCTCACTTACTTTTTTGTAAATGATATTTTAGGGCCTGTTTGGTTTACAGTTAGAATCAGAATTGAAATTCTTTGGAATTGGAATTGGAATAGTTTATTCCTCTCACTTATTTGGTTCAAACTGGGATTAGAATTGGAATCAGAATTGGTTGGGATGGATTCTCAGGGGAGGGGGAGGGAATGATCATTCTAGAATAATGAGAATGGGATTCCGATTCCAGACCCCTATTCCTGCAAGCCAAATGGACCCTTAATTTTTGCTAGAACTTTTGTATTGAAGCTGCCAATATTTGTACTGTTTAAATTTAGGGATTTTTGGACTGCACTCCCCCTCAGAAATCTTTTTTGCAACCCCCCTGTAAACCACATCCTACCCGTAAATTTAACATCAATCCGCAGACAGGATTCAGTCCACCCTAAGAAATCTTAGCTCCACCTAGGGGTGGACTGAATCATAAAAACCCCTTAAATTTATTGTAGACTATATTTATTCAAATGGTTAACCTTCAAAGATAGAGATTGTTTTGTAGTAAGAAAGTTCACCATATCAATTAATAAAATGTTGTTAATACTGCTTAACATGAGAATGTTGAATTTGGAGCTAAATATATAGGTGTTCCTTTTGCTGAGAAGAAACAAAGACTCAAAGGGCTCCTTTCTCTTATATAAATGTGGAACTAAGACCAACCTGTCCCACTATATTCCTTTTATTCACGGCCATGGGACAAAAAACAGTAGCATTAATTAGAATGGCTTTGGACCATTGCTAATAGACCTATTCACGGGCTGGGCTTCAGGCCTTACTTTCCACTATATTGGGTTTGGGTTTCCGGTCAAGTGAATTCAAATTTTGACAAAAACTAAGCCCGAACTTGGCCATGAACAAGTCTAATTGCCAACAATCTGAAGTTGCATTTTTTACTATACCCTTGATATAAAATAATTTCATCCGATAAACTAACAAGTCATTCAGTTCACCACTTTTCGATCATTGGCACTGACATTCAAATCTGCCAATTCAACCATTATCAAATGATAAAATGGACCCAACAATGAATACACGCTATAAAAAGGATTAACATTCGAGCAATCAAATAGAAATAGATAGCCCAAATTTTCAATCCAAGAGGGTAAAAAAAAAAAAAGAAGGTACAAGGAGGGCCTGTTATTTGATATTGTTTGATGCATGATTATGATTATATAAGCTTAGCCATTCCAAAAGCAGCAGCGGAGGCGATGGCCCCAACCAAGGCAGTGTGGAAGGCAGTCTTGATGGGGTTGTTGCCTGTAAGGCGGCCTTTTGAATAGCCAAAGAGTAGCAATGCAAGCAAGGTGACAACCACAGACGTGAGGACTGCCTTTTTCACAGTTGAAATGAACATGTATGGGAGTAGGGGGACTAAGCCACTTGTTACGTAGGTGAGTGCAATCGTTAGTGCACTTTCCACTGCTCTCGCTGGCTGTGGTTTCTCCAACCCCAGTTCAAACCTGCATTCATGCATGGTTATTTTTTAGTTCCATCAGAGTTCAAATCATTGGCTTTTCCAATGGTTATTACAACAAGAAGAATAACAATGATGATTTACACAATAACACCTTGATAAATTTCTATGTTGAACTTTGGGCTGTGTTTGGTTGCAGTGCAAATTTGTTTGTACTAGTACAAATGTAAAAAATGAAAATCCTTGTTTAATTTTGTTTTGAATTTTACTTTATTCTGCTTCATGTCTTAATTTACTTTATTTGTATTGCAATTAAACAAAATAAGCTAAAATTTAAAACAAAAATAAGTCAGAATTTACACTCAACTCATTTGCACTGCCATTGTTTTGCATCAGTGCAAATTTATTTGCATTGTATCCAAATTGATATTTTATTACAACAAATGTAAGTAATGAAATATACCATGTGTGAATTTTATGATTTTTTTTTTTTTTAATTTTGATATAGGTTTTAAGGGGATATTAGCATTTTATTGGGTAGCCCATCCATATGCCCTTAACCCCTAGCCTTGGTGGCAATGAGATTTGATCTCAAGTCTCTGCTACAACGAGTAAAAAATCCTACCAAGAAGATTCTACTCTTTCTAATTAATATCATCAAATGATTTTTAAGAAAGATATCTAAACCATTAAAATGGGCCTCAAAACCAGTCAACTGATCTTGAAAACCCGAATTTTCAACTGATCGAGGCCATAGAAATGGAATGATAGATCAAATGTTGACTATTCAATTATGGAGTATACCCTTCTCGAAAAATGAAGTTTTATTTTTGTGAATTCCTAATTGTCCTAACAATTAGGACGTAGCTATTCCTATTTTATTTTCCCAAACAATTTCTTCTGTAAAATTTAGTTCCATAAATCTATATAGGGTTTAATTAGCACTAGCATCGCTCAGGCCTACAGTTTAAATTGATTAGGCAGAGAACGGAACCATCTCAAACCATACTACTCGATAAACTCTCTAGAAAATAAAATTTATTAAGTAATTACGACTTACTTCATCATGAAATCAACCCATGCTTCGGGTTTCTTCCGAAGGGCATTCACTACCGGCCCATACTCATGAGGCTCAAGCCCATATTCTGCTAATATCTCTGCAACCTCAGCTGCCTCTGTAATTTAAACAAAACTACAATCAACCTTTCGGAATAAATCAGTCATGATCTCATATGATATGAGGTCCCACCACTATCAACGGATGAGATGGGTAGGACAGAAATCAGATCTACATGACAGAAAGAAAAGGGAAATGGTGAGAGGCACCTTCATCAGGGACAGTGATGATCTCCTCTTGCTCTCTCTTGAGTTCTCTCATATAGTGATCAGCATCACTTTTGGCAGCAAGATACCTGTGGATAGTTCCAACATAATTAATGGTATTTCAGCTGTTGCTTTAACAATTACAATAGCAGCTTGTTCTCCTGGATCATGGCCCCTACACTCTAGAATTTACACAGCATTGGGCCTAGGCCCTCCCACAAGGTCCATCCAGGGGCCGCTTTATAATGGCTGAAGATTCTGAATTGTAAAGCTTATTGCTTTGTATTTTAGTGAATAAGTTTTTAAGGAGGTTGTGGATTCTTTAATGGATGAAGTTGAATTTGGGTAGATCACTATATCCTTAAAATTTTTTTATTTAATTGTTTTAACAACTCAAAGATAAAGCAATAATTTTTTTTGTTCTTTTTAATTTAGTAACTTCAACTGTTATCAAACAGCCCCTCAAATTTTAGCAAATGTCCAACCCGAGTCCACCCAAGTTGCAACTCTACAAGTTTTACTGGGGGAAATGTATATACTAATGATAGATATTAACTTTGCTCATGCATGCATCCTTTAAATCATTCAACTGACACACATAATCAGGATGAAAGTCAGCCTATGAAAAAGTATTCAAATCTTAATTCAATGGTGGAATCAGTAAGGCTGTTTTTGGTTTGAAGGAAAAAGTAGGGAAAGGAAGGAAAAAACAGGAAAACCTATACAAGGTTTGTAAAGGTTTTCCTACATTTCTCTTCCTTTCCCTATCTTTTGCTTCAAACCAAACATAACCTAAAAGATAGAATCACTAATAAGGAAATCTATTTATCTGGATGAACTGAATAAATTATTGCTTATTTGATTTGATTATTTTAGTGGATTAAATTGGATATAAAACTAAAAATTTAGGCTCGGCTTGTTACCAGTGCAATTTCATTTGCACCGGTCAAGTATGGAATTGTAAATGAGTTGAGTGCAAATTCCAGTTTATCTTCAGCTTTTACATTATTTTGTTTGTTTATGGTGCAAATAAAGTAGAATAAAATTATGAATCCAACTTCAATGCTTCATTTATTGCACTTTAAATCAATATTCAATCAATCACCTATACTAGTGAATGAGAGTGTCAAACTTTTATTTGATTAAAATATCTCAAATTTGAATTTGGTTCCTCTCTAATTATTGTAAGGATAGAAATGCAATTTGAACAACCATTTTTTTCTCATTCAAATTCCTCTCATTAAGTTTTATATTTACAATATTAACTTCCATTCTTTCATTGAGTCTTATATTAATTAACCATATTATATTAAACAAAAATAAGTATGATAAAGAATAATTATTTTTATTGGTGATAGAAATATATAAATTTAAAACCAACCTTAAAAATAAAATTGTTTTCCTATTTGGTGGCAAGTCAACAATACAACCTTTTAGGTCAACTTTTGATGTCATAGTTAACTAATAATAAAAATTAAAAAAGATAAAAACACAGAAAAATACAAAGATTTGTATAAAACATCTAGGCCCATCTCTAATATTTTATATTTTTCATATTAAAAAAAATAAATGTGACAAATAAGAATTATTTTTATAGACATAAAAATATGAAAACATTATAAAAATTTTGGAGACATTATTTACTATCATCATCATAAAAAATTGCCACGCGCAAAGCATGTAAACAATTACTAGTATAATAGATGAGAAAAGGAGGAACAAAAGGGGTCCTATCACCACATAGCTCACATGTACCTCCTCTTTTCTTTCCTTTCTAACACATGTGGACTTAAATTTGCCAATCAAAACCAAACTTTTGACCAACTCTAAATGTGGACCTTAATCCAAACCAAAATTGATGACAAAAACTTAAATTTGCCAACCAAAATTTAACTTTTGCCTAACTATAAATATGGACCTAAGCTTAAACCCAAATTGATTCCAAAAACCTAAATTTGTCAACCAAAGTCTAACTTCTACCCAATTCTAAATAAGAACCTTAGCCTAAACCCAACTTAACGCCAAAAATCGAAATTTGCCAACCAAAACCTAATTTCTTCCCAACTCTAAGTATGGATTTTAGCTTAAATCCAAATTGACATCAAAAACCAAAATTTTTCAACCAAAACTTAATTTCTTCCCAACTCTAAATATGGACCTTAGCTTAAACCAAAATTGATGTCAAAAATATAAATTTGTCAACCAAAACCTAACTTCTATTAAGCCTGTAAGTTGCATGGGTTTAGTTGCTAGTGGTTTATTTATTTAATTGATTTTTGTGTGTACTTATCGCCAAGACTTTAACAACGTTAAAAATGTTAGTTGTAATGTATTGTTACTAGTTCACATCTTTTGTTGCATGGTGCAGTGGAATCACCATAGGTTTTGCCTAAAATTATAGGTATAAAGAACAAAGCAAGGCTGATGTATTTGGATGATAATATGATTATATTGCAAGCATACAATAAGAAATAGAACTACAAATGGATCAGATTTAGATCAAATCCAGTTACATTCGCATCCGACCTATTTATCAAACATTTAGATTTGAATCCGGTCTGAAATCCAATCCAGATCCTGATGTAATATGCATTTGTCTTATTGTTTTAAAAATGACAAAAAATTAAAAAGGTTTTAAAAAATTAATTATTTTCAACTTATATATGTATACAAAATGTAAAGAAATAAAATAGGGTAAATTAGAAAGACCCCTCTATATTACGAGGTCATTAACAATTACTCATGAACTTTAATTTGTGACAAAAACCTCCTAAACTTTCACTTTAGAAAAAATATCCCCTCAATTAAAGTTTCATTAGTCAATTTCAAAAAAGATTCTCATTCAATTGCTTAATTTTTTAAATCCCCAAACTACCATTTTTTATTTATTTGAATGATGTATGATTCAATTAGTTTTCTAAATATGATATTGAAATGGTAGAGGTTTTTAAGTTTAAGGTTTCGTTTGTTTTTTTTTTTTTTGGTTTATTAGAGAAAAGAGGAGAAAAGAGTAGGTAATTTTTGTATATTAAGATGAAGATAGACATTCATGTCAGTGAGATGACACAAGAATTTAGGTCTCGTTCATTTCACGGATTTTAGTAGGGGGAAAGTCACACGGTAAATATGTTTTCCTCAAGGAAGTGTTGCCCTTCTCCCACTTGGGAAAGTTAACTTTTCCTGAGTAGAGAGTAAATGATCAAAATATAATATGTCAAAAATATCCATCAAAACAATATAATCCAAAAAGCATGGACTTGGGCCCAAGGGTAAAAATGACAGAACATAGAAAAATTAACCACTTACCTAAGAAAGTGGGTGAGGCAAAAGAACACGGGAAAGTTGAGAGGCCTCATTTACCTAGGTAAATTTACCAAAAAAGAACATGGGTAAGTGTACTTACCCAAGTAAATGGCCTCTTTGTAAATGAACAAGGCCTTAAAGAAACTTGTTTTTCTATGTCAATGAAATGATTCTTGTTGTTGTAGTTGGTTTTGTTAAGAGAAAATAAAGGTATTTTTGGGTCAATTATGGTTTAAGAGAAAAGGGCAAGAAAAAGAAAATAAGAAAAATTTATATGAATCTTTTGGTAATTTAAGCATTCTGTCAGTTGATTTAACGGAAAGGGGTTATTTGTTGCAAAGTGAAAATTAAAGGGGGTAATTGTCACTGACCCCATAGTATAAGAGGTCTTTGTAATTTACTCAATAAAATATTAAGTATATCATTCATAAACTTTTTATAATTGTATATAAAATAATAATTTATATATACAATATATAAAACAATAATTTTTATCAGCCAAAGGTGTTTTAATGTGGTCTTTCAGGCTTTTCAAAGTGTGGAAAACCATAGTTTGGTCTTTCTTTTTTGGACAATGAAAGATAGGATGCCAAAAAGCATTTGGTGATTGAATAGGTCAGAGGTCCGGTTACTGGGTTGAACGGTTTGATTGTTCGAACTGAATGCTTGGCCAGATTTGACAAAAAAATAAAATATTCAAAAAAAAATAAAAAACGGTCAAAACCGTTCGAATGGTTAACCGTCTGGTTTAACGGTTCGCTAACCAAAATTAACGGTTTTGGAGGAAATCTAGCTTTTGGGGAAAATAAAACTAGTGGCTGGTTCCTGATTTTTTTCGACCGTCCGGTCCAGTCTGGTTTTGAAAACCATGCCAAAAAGACCTATGCCCTAAAAAACTCATAGAAGACCAAAATGGGAAAAAAATCTGGAAGCTTCAAAAGAAGCTCCCTATCTTTCTGTGCCTAAAACCTTTCATTCATGCTATGTTTGGTTTGAAGGAAAAGGTAGGGAAAGGAAAGGAAAGCAAGGGAAACATGTATAAACCTTATATAGGTTTCCCTACTTTTCCCTTCCTTTTCTTACCTTTTCCTTCAAACCAAACATAGCCTTAACAGCTTGATAGACCATGGTAGAGTATGATACTTACCAAATAGTCTAGATCTTTAGGCTCAGTTTGGAAGGAGTACAAACACAAATATGTAGAGTACAAAACCTTTGTATTTTGCATTGTTTTTATGTATTTGTACTCTTTCCAAACTGATGAGCCTTAAAAGACAAGACCCCAAAAGCTTATCATATCTTTTGACCATTTGGGCTGTTGAAGGATATTCCTAAAATGTAAGGTTTTAAAAATTGGATCTGATATGGAACCATTTTGGCCACCGGTTCTCAAGTGGAATGGTCCGATTGTCTTGTTCGAACGGGTGACCCATTCTAATTTAAAAAATAAAAATAATTAAAATAAAAAACGACCAAAAACCATTGTCCAAATTGACATGTCAACGATTTGACCACCCAGGTCAGCTGGTCATTAACCAAGTCAACGGTTTTAGGGTGAAATAGAACCAACCGGTTGCCTAGACAAGTCCTGAGTCAACTGGTCTGACCGTCCGGTCCAGTCCAATTTTCAAAACCATGCTAAAAAGACATGCCAAACGGCACCTTTGTAAAATACAATAAATGCTCGGTTCTATCGGGTCTACCCGAAGCATTTAGAGGCCTATCATCACCAGTCTGTCACGTCTACCCAAGAACTGCATCAGCTGCATGCATACTTGGCATGGATGAGTTAAAAGCTTAAAACTCCTCAGATATTAAATAAAATAAGAAAATTAAGAAATAATAAAAAAAAAGAAAGGGAACAATACCCGCCAAGTCCCATGGAGATGGCGCCAGCAGCCACTTCAGCAAGAGCGGCAGTGAGGATGATAGATGAGGAAGCATTGGCGCCGGAGAGACCGGCAGCAAGAGCAAAGGGGACGGTGAGGCCATCGGACATGCCAATTATAACATCTCTCACCACCTCTCCCGCTGTGAAATGCATCTCCTTGTGATGGCCATGGTGCAGCGGCACTTCCTCCGACTTAAGATCTGCTGACGTGTTTCTCCCGTTCTCCATGACCATTAATCTGAATCCTGATGATCAGGAAATTAACAAAAATGAAAGAAATTAAGAAGAAGTTGTATAACTATAGCGGATGGTATGTGGGTGTGCATCGATGATCGATCTTTATATATGTAGAGGGCGGACTTAATTCTCTCTTCTCGATCTGCACGTGTAGTCGAATTTGGAAATTAAATTAATTAATTAATAATGATGTACGTACCTACTGAAATCTTTTCATATCATATAAAAGACACGAGGTGGAGGAGGCATCGTGGCAACCCCCGATTTACTGTACCATCCGTACTCGGGATTTCCTACCCACTCGGTAGTCGCTACGGCCATACGGCGGGTAGGAAACCTGGCTCGTAAGTCTCATCATGACCACGTGATCTGCAACCGCATCGTTCAAAATGTCTCCAAGTAGCTAGGAGGTGAGTGAAGGTCTATCTCAAATTAGCTAGGTGGTAAAGTTAAGTGGCACATCCCTAAGTCCTAACAAACACACTTACTAAAAAAAATCAAGTGTTGCTAGAGCTGGACCCGACTCCGGACACAACCATTTTCATCATCACCAGTTGAATGGTCCAATATAATTGTCCAATTCAACCGGTTCTAACTTGCTTGTTCAATTGAAATTTGAAAATGTAAAAATATAGAAATTAAAATAGTTTCAGATTACCTTTTAAACCTTTTCTTTATCAAAATAAATATTATAGGTTTTAACAAAAATTTACATATGTATTTAAATTTTAAAATAATAGATATTTACGAAGCCAACATTACTAACAACCAAACAATTAATTATAACCTAAACACTGTTCTACCTCCTGATCATTCTCAGTTCTAACACTCCGATTGTCTGATCCTATCTGTGTTTGACTATACTGGGTTGAAAGCGATATTGCATAATTCTTATCATTTATGTTATAATTCACCATTTGAATTAAGAAATCCAAGGGTTTTGATTTGAATTTAATCACTAGACCCCCCCCCCTTTTTTTTTTTGCAAAAATCCTACCATTGTTTATGATTTGTACAGTTCATGTGATTCAAATCAATTCAATGAAGAAATAACTCCATATTTTGTCTTTTTTTTTGTTTCTATTTAATTTTGCGAATGCAGGCCTGTTTTAAAACCCTTTTTAATTTTGTTTCTATTTAAGACATTGAAGACCGAATATCAAGTTTATTTAATTTCCATCAGATGTGCCTTAAATACCATTGTACATGGATTATTTGGCTTTCAAGTTAAAATTCATCTACATACATCCTAGCTAGCTATAGATCGATTAAAAGGAAGGTAATAATTTTCAGGAATGTAAACAATCTTACATTTTACGATATGATTGTGATTTTCATAACATTAATTGAAAGTAATAGGTAATAGGGCTGTTTACGGGTCGGGCTGGGTTGGTTTATTGGCGTTTTTCCAACCGACCTGACCTGGTCGGTTTACCTAGAAATAAAACCGAAACCAACCCAATACTAAGTAAAACCGACCTAGTCGGTTTGAGTCACTTTGGGTCGGTTTGTGAATGATTCTCTCGATGTGAATGGTAAAGATTCAAGTCTAAGAAGCGAAGGCTGGATGCCTAGAAATTAAAAATGATTTGATGGATTAAAGCTGAAATAAATAAATATATATATATATATATATTTCCACAAATATATCAGATATATATAATATATCTAAGTCGATTTGGTTTCGGTTTTCACACACGAAAACCGAAATCAAACCGAACCATCGGTTTATACTTTTCTGTAATCCAAAACCGACCGGTGCTGAAGAAAAACCGACCAACTCGAATTGAATCGAACCAGGTTGATCGGTTTGATCGATTCGGGTCTTGTTATAAACAGCCCTAATAGGCAATGGCCGAAGGGATTCACCTGACCCAAATTCAAATTTTGCATATATATATATATATATATATATGCTCACATATTAGTGTGATCAACCAAATTTGATCCAGTTCCATGAATCAAACAATGTATATTTTTCTCCTATATGCAGCCATGGATAACATATTTAGAATGTTTCTGATTTCTGAATAATATAGGATCTGAATTAAGCAATCGTTTTCATCATCATCATTATCTAAGCCCTATCTCAACTAATTATATTTATTGAATCAAATAATCAACCTAATTATATTTGTCAAACTAGAAATTTTAGATGCCCACAATATGACAGATAACCTTTTTTTTTTATCCTTTTCTTTAATTTTATAGGTATTAGAGGGTCCGACTATTTTAAAGTTTTAAATTAAAAAAAAAAAAAAAGACTTCCGTATCGATGTATCCAACATATCTATAGATGCACCAATACTGATACAATACGATGCACAAATTACCAACTGTTTCTGCTTTATGATGGCTTACTCTGTATATACCATCTGAAAAACTTGGTATAATATGCTTATAACACATTAATAGTCCTCCAAGAATTTTACTGTATCAATGATTATGTTAAAGCTGAAATTTGGAATTGAATCATCACCATATGTTGTCATTATTCCTTTCAAATAAAGTAGTCCCTAAATGATGTGGACACTATATCCAACTTGGACCCCTAATTGGATAAACCATATTCTCTTCTGCTTACAAAACAAGAAAATCCATATTCTCTTCAAATTCCTCTTATAAGGATTGTTCATATATCCCAAATTCCTCTTATTTTTGTCTTCTTAGCCACTGAAATGTAAAACTGTCAATGGTACAGCAGTCCTGAACCCATTATTATTAATTGGTTCTTATGACAGACCCAGGACTGCCCCATTTATTAATCAAGACAATCATGTCAGACCCAATTATACCTGATTATACTTGAAATCTATATTTACCTATAATAATTGTAACTTAAATTTTTATTTTTGATAATATAAGGGTTGGGTTGCTTCAGTGGGCGACCTGGGTGATCAGGGTTCAAATCTTGAAAACAGCCTCTTATTGTGTACATCTATTCCTCCCCAGACCCCCCATTAGCGGGTGCACTTTTCCACCCTTTCTTTGTAACCTTAATAAAATTGATTATGTTGATAAAACAAGTGTTTCTAACCAAAATTATCTTATATACAATCTATGAAATTTACCCTTTTAGACATAAAATATAACAACAATTACAAGAAAACCAGAGACATTTGTGTATTATTGATGACCTAATCAGTTTGGTCTAAATGGTTTGGAATAGCAAGAACCAATCCTAAGCCAATTATTAATCGGGACAAAACCACAGAACCAGAACTGACATAATCAGTTCATGTTCAGTCTATTAATTAGACCCTACCCACTGACAGCCTTACTGAAATGGGCTTCCGCAACAGTAACATATAATAGATAGGTGAAATTCTTTTTGTTAGAGAACTCTCTTAGTGGTAAACATTGCAATTTCCGACTGCTAAGCTTTTTTCATCCGCTTCATAATCTTGTCTGAAATACTGTACTTGTTGGGCATCCTTGGACTAGTTCCAGTTCATAGATCCAACTTTCAAGTAGGGAAAAAGAAAGTAACCAACTTTAGCATAGCCCATCTATCGGGGTAGTTTAGATCAACCAACTGAATTAGCTCTGTGTGCGGCTCCAATTGGAACTTGTTCAATCCCCATAATTGTGACAGATTGCAGGCCTCCACTTAGTAAGCCGTTCAATTTTCACAGTGAGTCGAGGCTGGATAAGGTTAAGCCAGTCGTAATAAACATGTGAGCTCCACACCTGTATTTCACCATGCAATCCGAATTCCAAAAGAGGTATGTACCATCAAGAAGAACAATGTTACCATAATGTACACTCAGTGCAAAGACTAAGAGTTAGAAGAAATTCCGCACAACTGGATGATCACAACTACAGTTTTTCAATTTCAGACTTGGATTTAATCCTTTACAGAGCCCAAAAATAAGTTACAAGGTTAATGGATAAAGGCTGGTTGAACTGTCTTCATAGCCTAATAAAACAGAACCCTTTTGTGAATGGTGATGTTTATGCAGGGATCCATTACTGTAAAAGTAGACATTAGGACTGGGCATTGGATCAAGACACTTCATTTCATTCACTTATTGGTTGTTATGAAACTACATTGAATAACCAAACAATCAGACTAGTAATAGGATCCAAACATTCAGGCAGAGAGAGGGTGATAGAGACTTAGTTTTTCATGCTTGCACAACCTTAGCCATGCCAAAAGCAGCAGCAGAGGCAATGGCTCCAATCACAGCTGTCTCCAAAGCACTTCGGAAGGGCTTATTGCCTGTGAAATAGCCCTTCCCATAACCAAAGATAATCAGTGCAATTATTGTAACGACCACAGACATCACGACTGCCTTCTGTGCAACTCGAATGAACATGTAAGGGATGAGGGGGACCAGGCCACCCAATGCATAGGCAATGGCAATCGTGAGTGCACTCTCCCATGCTCTTCTTGGCTCTGGCTTCTCCAATCCAAGCTCAAACCTGCATTAATGGATTTTGTTTAGTTTGATTTTTGAAACTAACCATAGCATATGCCTTCTTAATCAAGAATTTAATTTAAGACTAACAATGCTAATTTCCCAAAAGGGGTTGTGCTTCAGTAAGGGGTTCCTTGCATGAGGTATGCTCTTTTACTAGCCAATTAGGAACAGGGTTAGTTACAGTCCTTTAGAACATTTCTGGTGTTCCAAGGAGCACAAGATAGTTGTTTTCTTGTTCCTGGGACATCAGAAGCATTCTTTGAAGTTTTAAGAAATGGTGCCTGAGATTCCAATCTGACAATAAATAAGTGGCTCCTTATGCAAGGAACCCTTCCTAAATCAGGGTTCAAAAAATTACAAATATGTAGCTGTATTTCATTTAAATTTTCCACCAAGGTTGGATAACTTGGATTGTTCAAACTGATTAGTATCAATTACTATTTATCAAACAAATAAAGGATTCAGTAAAATATGATAGCACAAAGAATGAAAAAAAAAATATCATCCACAAAAGTACTCGCATTCCCATAAATCACAGAAACACCAAATAAATCATCACAGAAAAGTGATGAGGTGGAGTCCTCTCAATGCTATAGACCATATGGATAAAAGTCAACAAGATAAATTATAACCATACATGATCCCTGAATTATTTCTGTATTGCAAATAATAGTCTCCTTAAGAGTTCCATTAAGTCCAGTTTTTTGAATTAGAAATAATATATTGGATATTCTAATCAGCTTTTTACTGTTACTAGTGTTTTGGAATGAAACCTGGTCATTGTTGGGTCCTAACCCTCCATACATGTACAAGTGTACAATACAGAAGCTCATGGCTCAAAACAGCCCCTAATTGCACTTATGACCTAAAAAATTAATTAAAAATATAGTGAATCTTCATATTTTCCAAAAATAGGTTAGACGCTGAACCATTCAAATATACAGAAAATCATAGGAATCTTTCATTGGAAAGCATATAATCCATGAATAATATGGGAGTGCTTTATTTTGTAATATCTAATAATATAAATATGATTTTATATATATATATATATATATATATATATATATTTAATGAAACATATTTATAATAGATTAATCATACATTTACACGTAAAGAATGAAAAAAAAATTTATTCCTTATTTTTTTAAAAGATCACAGATTAAACACGTTCATTTTTAACTCATCTTTTTTACCATACCACATATGTATGACAATTATTTATTGTATTTTCATTCTTTAAACTGAGTTATATGGAAAATTTTTTCTCTTATTCTACTTATGCCAAATGTTGGTCCTAGATCCAAACATATTCTGAAATGATGTTTTGTATATAAACAAAGCCAACTTACTTCATCATGAAATCAAGCCATGCTTGGGGCTTCTTCCGAAGGGCATTCACCACTGGTGCATATTCATCTGGCTCAAGTCCATAATTTGCTAGTATGTCTGCAACCTCTGTGGCTTCTGTGTGGAAAATAAATAGACACTGTCATATGCCATATAACTTTTAAATTTAGTAGGAAATAATAAAGATGATACAAAAGGTCAAATGCTTTTTTATCATATCTAGCTAGACAATGAGACCACTTGATCAAAAGTTCAAATAGTTTGGGCTTATGTGGATGGAAGAAAACAAAGTCGTAAGGACCTCTATAAGGGACAGTGATGATCTCATCTTTTTCTCTCTGTAGTTCTCTGGCATAGTGATCAGCTTCAGTTTTGGCAGCAAGGAACCTGTAAGAAAAATACCCAAAAAAAACTATAAGAATGCAAAGTAAAAAAGTTCCATATTTTGCATATTTGACTTTTATCATAGAATTCTAAGAGGTTCATTTACCAAACTAATATCCACTATCTTTCTTGAATTACCAAAGGTGGCATACTTGATGCAAAGGAGAGGCATTGGCATAGAATTAAATCAAACATAAGTAAAAATGTAATTGAAAGAAAGTAAGATAAAGATAATATATACTATTTTGGTTATGATCAATGACCCGAACTGGCATACATCCTAATGGGAGAAGATAGTAATCATCTGATTGATGGCAATGCAAAGGTAATGAAAAATATAGTAGAATGAGTAAGCTACATAATCAGGATTTTGGAAACCTTACTATGTTCGTAAGGCTCAGTTTGGAAGGAGTACAAATACAAATATGAGTTCAAAACCTTGTATTTTGTTTTATTTTGTATATATTTGCACTGTACAAATTTGTATTTGTACTCCTTCCAAACTGAGCCTAAGTAAAGATGATTAGAAAGAGAACACATTAGATCAAGAAGCAACTGTCCAAGAGAAATACATTATGTGAGCCAAAATAAATCCTATATACATCTCAAACATAAAAAAAGAACACAGAGAAAGCCCATGATCTAATTACCCCTATCTTTTCTTTTTTATTTTACCAACAAAAATGAGTTTCTAAGAATGCTTTAATGATTTCCACATGGGAAGCCACTCACCACTCAATGCATGGGTTGGAATTGAAGTCACAAATATTATGTATGTTTACTGATCAATGTTGCTCTCCCTGGAGGAACAATTGAAAAAATTACTAGGCTCTGTTTGCGGTGCAAATCTGAACCGAATACAAACTTTGCACCTCGTTCAGTTTTGCATCTATTTGTTTGTATTTATTATTTGCAGTCCTATCTGAAATTGATGCAGAATTTTTTAGCAGTACAAATTCTGCGTCTCAGAAATTGATGCAAAATTTTTACCACCTACCCATTACCTAAATTCTTTCTCATATAAAGTGAGAACCACATCATCTTCTTGGTTCCTATCCCACTGCCAGATAAATAACTCTCACCCTACCTCTATTATCTTTCATATAAGATGGGAACTACATCATTTTTCTTCCCATCTTACTTTGCAGAAGCAAATAAGACAGTCAAATCCGAGGCCAAAGTAAACCAGAATTTACACTTAATCTATTTGCACTCCCATAGATTTACACGAGTGCAAACGAAAACAGAACCACAAACAAATTGAGCCTTAGCTTTTAAAAGTTACACAGATCAACTCAAAAGCATAAGGTCAATTTTGTTGAATTACTTCAAAATAATTTGGGTTCTACTCTAATCTGGAAATGGAGATGATCATGGGCCAGGCCAAATTGGGCCTAAGCTAGAAACTTTGAAAGAGATAAAGGGCCATAGGTCCAGCCGAGGCCCGGCATCTTGAATCACCGGGCCTCCCTCCTGGGCCTGGCTGAATCCTACTTTAACTGGAGTAACTTCATATCATGCTAAATTATACTGGTTGAGTGGCACGTGCAAGAGAGAAGAGGAAGATGAGTTCCCACTTCCCACCTTATATTTGTTGGACAGTGTATGCAGTACTGTCACAACTTTCAATATTCACATGTTGGTCTGGACGTGAAGCCAGACAAGTAAATATTATAAATTGGGTTCTGATTTGGGCAAATTTCACTTCATTTCTGTGCTTACCGCTGGAACCCTTAACTGGGTCCTTTTAACTTAGAAGGTGACGCCAAACTGTAAATACTAGCCATGTGTCAATTGGCTGCTGTTTGGAGTCAAGGGTTCCACTACCACTTACACTCTACACTGGTTGAGAAGAAAGAACGAGTGACCAAACATGGGCTAGCTTTGCCTTTTCCTTTCCAGTCGACAAGAGCCATGTGTCATCCACGAGCCCTTCATTAAAATATTACATTTCCCAAGTAAAAGACAATGGAATTCCAACCCTTAATGTCTCACGCATGTGCCGGTCCACTATGTCTCAATTTTTCTTTTTCTTTTTTTGAATTTTGGTAAGAGTGCAAAAGGCAAAAATGTAAATTTGGTTTGATTTTGCATTATATTTGGTTGTGATTTGTGAATGACTGAATGGTGATGGATATAAACATCAATTTCAAGATTACAACTTTTTTTTTTTAATATTGATCAATTTGATCATGGGCCGGATCAGAATTTCCGGCCTAAAATATAAAAGTATCATATACATATTTATTTGGGGCTTGGCTTGGCTGGGCCCAAGTCCAGAAACATGATAATGACATCATGCATGATTGCATGAATAGAAGATGTGGAACAGTGGAAGTGGAAGGAATCCACAGTTTCCGATGACTTGACTTTTTATTTCCTGTGAAGTGTGAATTCCACTTCGTCTCCAGCGCGTTGCACAGTTGTTGGGCATCTTTGGAATTGATTGCTATCTAGCATTCCTTTTTTGCTCCGTCATTTGAATATGGAGCTAGGGCGGTGGAATGCTAGAAGCCATCTCCGAAGAGCTGCTGCTGCTGCTTACGACCTACTCTTTTTTTGGAAGGAATGTATGATATAAAGCTTTTATCTGAATGAAGTAATTAGCTTTCACTGACAAAAAAAGTTTATGCAACTCTTCGAAACTTCGCCTTTGGGACCCATGAAAAATCTTAGTAGCAGACGAATTCGGGCATGTGTTTAAGTATTTCATGGGTCCTACAGCTTTCGCCTTTGTTTATTAGCATATTCATCGGAGAAAAGAGGAAGAAAAATACCCGCCAAGTCCCATGGAAATGGCGCCGGCGGCGACTTCAGCGAGGCCGGCGGTGAGGATGACGGAGGATGAGACATTGGCACCAGAGAGACCGGCGGCCAGCGCGAAGGGTACGGTGAGACCGTCGGATATGCCGATGATTGCATCTCTCACGATCTCTCCTGCCGTAGAATGCTTCTCCACATGGTGTTGTAGAAGATTCTCCGATTCTGCGCTTCTCCCCTCTGCCATGATTAAGCAATCAATGAAAAGAAAAGAAAAAACTGAGACTTCAGGACCGACGGAAGAAGAACGAGAAAAGTCTTTACACAATAGCAGGGGCAAGATGTGTGTATTAATGATATTTATAGCGGGATTCAGGACTCTGGTGGTGCCCGCAGATTCTCCCATACCGAAAGGCCAAAGCAAATTGTAGTATTATATTGGGATGGGTTCGACTATGATACCAAAAAAATAACTTGCCAATAAATTGGAATCATAGACGTGGGCGTTTGGCACCAGATCGTTTCACAAGCGTTTAGTTTCACGAGTATTCCTTCGTTTACATGTGTTTGGTTTCATCGGTAGAGATGCAAGCTATTGGGTGTTTAAAGTGATTTGACTTATTGATAAACTGTATGATATCTTAGAAAAAGAAGTCTGCTTTTTCAAATTTTAATGTGGCATGTCATATTAGATTCAAGATTTCAAGGCGATTCAAGAAAAGCTAATCATTATAAAAATGTTTTTTTAAATAGATTGTCAAATGTGATTTTATTATCGATTCTGTTTAATTACTGTTTAATTACTGATGTGGCATGAACAATACATCAGCAAAAACAGAATGCTTGTGAAATGCTTCAATGCCAAACACCCACTAAGTAGGTATTTAGCATAAATACCGTTTTTCCAAAAAATGGTGTTATAGCAGTTTCACGTCTGAAATCTGTTTTTTTTTTTTTTGGAAAACGCCAGATGTTTGTTTAAATGTCTAGTTGTTTCTCAAAAAACATTTTCTCGGACCATGTCTTGAAAATCAAGAAAGGCATAATCTTAGAAAACACCCTTTTTACCATCTTCTCATTTTTTTAGTTCAAATCAACCCCCCACAAGATTGTCCCCCACACCACTTCCCCTGGTGTATTATGAACATCTCCCAATAATGACATCATCATTTCTAGTATCACTATCTAGAGATATTCCCAAAACACGACGGAGATGACATCAGCATCGTTTTCTAAGAAAATACCTCTAAAAAACAGCATTAATTCCAAACACTGCCTAAGTCCAACAATTTATCGTTTATATTGTATGAAATATTTTAAAATCCCAAAATTGCTATTCATTTTCCATTTTTCCATTTTCCTTCTCAGATTTAGATAAACTATGCATTGAAGCAACACAGAGATCTATGCATCAACCTTTATTTTCTTCCTTATTGCTAAATTAAACTGACATAATGGTTATACAGTTCTGCCCCCTTTACATCACTACCTCTGAAGTTCAGGGTACCTATCTCTAATCTATCTCATAAGGTATAAACTATTTTCCAGGAAAGTCCATACTCATAAACCCCACTCCACCAACACAGGTGCAAGAGGGATTCACTCCCAAATCTCCACTATAAACCTACAACCAGTAAGAATACTAATAGACCTTACCAACCAGCCAACCCATAACCCCTACCCAAACATAGGTGCAGGCGGGATTTGTCCCCAAGTCTCCACTACAAACCTACATCCCGTAAGAGTACTAAGAAACCTTACCAATAAGCCCATTGGCACCTTGCACGCAGTTCTTTATTTTATTATTATTTTTTGAGAAAAGCATGCAGTTCTTTATTTGAGTAAGCCAAATATGCACACATTTAGCATAACTTGCCACGTGCACTAGAGGGTCCTAGTGCCCTTTATTTAAATTTAGTAGGTATTTGGCACAGGAGCATTTCAAGCGTTTCATTTTTTTTTACTGGCATGCCATTCATGCCACATCAGCAAATAAACAAAATTGGTAAGAAAATCATACTTTAGTAGTCTATTTTTCAAAAAAAAAAAATGCTTTTGCAATGATTAGCTCTGGGATTCAAGAAAGGAGGGGTTTTTTGAATTGTTAAATTGATGATTCTTGAATTGTCTTGGTGATCTTGAATCACTAAGCTGACATGAAAATAAGGTTCTAAATATCAATATGCCCGATATGTCGGTAGGGGCATATTGGGCAATATCGATGGTGTTTTTTTTTTTACTTTTTTTTATATTTTTTTTCAAAACCGGTTCAGGGGGCGGTTTAAGGCTCCTCCACCCCCTGAACTGGTCAGAACCCCGACATGACTTTTTTTGAAAAAACTGACTTCTTTTAGGTGACATGGCACGTTCAAATTTTAAAAATCTGACTTGTTTTCTAAAATGTCGTATAGTTGTCGTTATAAATTTACTATAATAATAAGGATAAGCCAAATCACTTTAAACACCCAGCCTGCATATGTCCAATAATGCCTAAAATCGGGAAAATTTTGGATGTTGCATCTTGCATGGAACGTTACCCCATATTTACAGTGCAAATACATAAAAAACAATACAAAATACAAGGTTTTTGCGCCCTACACATTTGTATTTATACTCCTCCCAAACTGAGCCAAAAGAGTATTGAGGATAATTACTCTTTTACCCCACATCACATCCATGGAACGTATCATATTCAGGAAGCTATCAAACAGCCACAGTATATAATCTGGTCCGGTCGGTTGGGCCTGCCCAAGTTGTTCCTCTGAAATCTAAAGAAAAATGAACCTGAGAGTGTTCTTTTTTTGGATTTTGAGAGGGAGGAAAGTTGGTCAATGGAATTTTGGTTCCCATTGACCAAGAATCTCATGTTCTTTTTTCAGATTTATGTAGGGACCAAGGATAGTTTATTTTCCTGAGGTTAAGTGATACCCATCTTCTAGGTGGATAAATAATTTTCCCACCTAGGGGGAAAGTTACCAACACTTGAATGGGATAAAATGCCTCTTTTAATAATGGATTTTTATGGAATAAATAGTCATTGCCTTATTTACATGAGAAATAAAAAAACATGGATAATGCACTTAACTGGGTAAATGTTTCGCAGGAAATACTTAACCAGATAACTGCATTTACATGGATAAATAACTTACCGAAAAGCAGCGAATTGTGGCCTAAAAGTATTAAAAAGGCAGTCAAAATATACCAAACTTTTGAAATTGAACAGCAGCGTTCTGCTCCTGATTCGATACCGTATCGGTTATCTTCACCAGGTCTCAAATCTGAACCGTTCAGTCCAAAGACGCATCTCTCCTGCCTCCTAGAATGAACACCAATGGACTTGTGGACTCGTTACCGTAAACAAGCCGACCATCACGACCTATCGAAGGGGAGGTGGGGGCTGGTTATTATTTCAACGATGTCGACCGAAGAAAAACCAGAATTTGACAAATCCAGGCCTAGATGTGCAGAAAAAGGTAGCTTTTCTGGGTCAATCTACAAATTTGCAAAGCCAACTTAAACTAAACATATCCAGGCCTGGATGCCATGCACCAAAAGCAGCTCTAGGTCAATCTTCATGAACTGCAAGTAAAACAGACTTAACCAGATGATAAAAAACGAAAGAATTTGCAGAAGAGCCAAGTCCGCCTCTTGAAGACAGCAGTCCAGCCTCCAAATCAGTTTACCAGCTCCTGTGATTATCATTCTACTTGCCAAACCAGTTCAGGATAACTTGCCATGGACTAGAATTTAGGGGAAATAACTTTTGCCTGGAGGTCATCTCTTAATACAGAGATGCATGGGAGATGTCTTGGCATTTTTTTTTTTCTCAACAGTAATCAAAGATTATCTTCTAGACCTATCTGACAATTGTAATAAAATATCTATTTCAGCTAACAATCAGATATCCAAAACCTTGAAATGCCAAAGGCACAACTCCAATAAAAAATAGTTGTGCTCTGAATTCGTGCAGTCAATATCGCACATTTTGATTTATAGACAGTAAAGCTGCTGATACCAATTCTTTTCTCCTCCCGAACTGTAAATAAGTTTGTGGGTTCCTATATTTTTCCCAAGAATTGTTTTCCCTCAGTCCCGCTTCTGGACCTTTGTTATGATGGCTTGGGTAACTAAGATAGCAAGATAAGCCAAAATTGTGACAGCCATCCCTCCAAAAAGCACCCAACGATCATAAGCTGCAGTCTGCACTTTGTATACACGCAGGCCAATTACATTCCAAAAGCTTTCTGTCCATACAGGATCCACTATCCCCATAACATCGGAGGAATTTGGTGGCAGCACATTCCAAAGTCCAGATTCAAATTTTAGCCGGGTTGAATATGCTGGAATGTACCTGAAACGACCAACGTGATGTTATGATGATAATACAAACTTGGTAGATAAATTTACCAAGCCAACACATGGATGCAATTAAATTTCAAAATATTCTCACTTTCCCCAAGACACAATCACATTGGTGCAATGCTAAGAGCATTGGGTTCAAATCTGAGTGGTCACTTTGTGCAAAAAAAAATGTCAAGGGATAGGTCCATAACCGGTCAACCTGTTCCAAAACTACTAATAGCCAGGACCAACAATGGATAATGGCCCTTTGTCCCTGAGACATCATGAGAATGATGATGCTGTCCAACCAAAGCCAAAGCACTACAAGAATTCATGGTACTCACTGGATGTAGCTGAGAGCAGTCTGCCTATGGCAAGAAGGAAAAATTTGCGAGTATAGATGCCAAGAGTTAAATTGACATTTTGATGCATTCCAATGCAATAATGCACTAGATATCAGTATAACTTCTCCAGAAAACTTGGAATTTTGGTTTTCAGTATATATTATGCATGCAGACTAGCAGGAGACTGATACATTTGGTTCTAGTTATTTTGCTGATACAACTTTTAATAATAAGTGGGACATACACTTGTATGCTATTTATTAGCTGACAGGGTATTTAGATTTCTTTAAACAGTAAAATTACCTAGTTGTAGAGATGACACAAGAACCCTTTCCATCTCGTTCCGCTTTGATGCATACTTCACCTGTTTTGCTGCAATCTCGTGAGCAAGAAAAGCCAGTGTTCTCACGTGGAGTGGAGGTTCTCTCAGCCAGGAAATTCCATAGGAACCTGGATACATCACCCACATACTCCAGATATGGTGTGGAGGAAGGCTCACCAACGAGAACACCAACATAGTGGTTTGGGCAGGTACTAATAGGTGAAATATAGTCTTTCACAAGGCCACAAGACAACCCTGGTTCACAGGTCAAAAGGCATCCTAGCAGCTCCTCAACCAAAGAGGAGTTAGCATTGATAGAACTCAAATCTGAGATACTTGGTTCTTTATCACTTGAAAGAATGTAGAGGGTACGGGCAACAAGAGATGCCACAGATATTATTGCCGAGGAGTTGACATTTGCTGCATTTAAATAAAATGTGTTGAACAAGAAAAATAACTATTTAGGAGAAAACTGCAAGTGTAACATGTAAAAACGAATTTAACATATGCCTAATGGGGAAAAAATAGACATACATATATCATCGAGGTGGCTGTGGTAGAACTTGTTGACAAAGGCAGTATCAAAGTCTTCCAAGACAACCCCAGAAGTGGAAGCATTCTGTGGAGAGAGAAACATTAAACTTTGTATTCATAATTTATTTGGTTCAAGGTCTAACAACATACTCTATGGAAACCTGCCCCTTCAAATTAGTGAGCAAACCCAACTTACATATTCTAGCAAGAACCGATTCAGTCATAATCGGATTCAATGTGATCAAAGATCGACTGGTTGACTAACCGACTGCATCACTAACTAGTCAGTTGATATCTTAAACTATGTTGAAGTTCGGCCTGCCCTAGAAGTCTGTTTTGTTTGTTAGCTGAAAAGTAAAGTAAACAGCAAGAAGGAAGAGAGGAAAGAAGAAGGAAGAAAGAGGAAGGAGAAGAGAAAAGGTCTGGTTCGAAAATAGGAAAAAAGTCAACCCTTGTTTCGGCCAGAMCTGTTATTATATTATTAATGTAATTGGAAAAGACATAAGTGCCCTTATTTAAGTAAGAGGCACTCGAACTAACATAATAGTACACATCAGCACTCTCAACAGGTACAAAGACCGAAATACCCCTTCACAAACAAACTATTTGAGTATGTTTGCATTTTGTTATATTCATGCTGTTGCTTTAAATGTCTGTGATGGAACATGATTAGATGATGGCATATAAAATAGAAAAGGCATAAAATAAAAGAAGGCAGTGGAGGTTCTTTTAAGTTTTCCCCCAATCAGTGGTGTGTTGATAAGGACCAAGGAGTTAAAACAAAAAGGGCACATTGACAAGTTAAGGTCACTTTAGAAAATAAAATGCTGTGATTCCTTATCCCAGCCTATCCAGCCTAACTTTTCCTTGTTTGCAAAACAAAGTCAATAAACTAAATGTTCAATGTCATCCTTTTTATGAATAGTTGTAGTCTATGTTGACTTATCTACGAGACTGCTTCAATATCTTACAATTAGAACATATCTTTTTTCGTCAACTGGTTGGCACCTAGGTACCACCAACTAGAGAGGCCAAAACAACTAGTTAGCACTTCACTGCATTGATTTCACTGATTTGATTAAAGCATCTGTCACAAATGCAATCTAAATATCCCCCAAATCCAATTGAGACAATTCCTCCTATTGTTACAATGTTAGTGAACTCAGTATGGCAAACAAAATCATTGTTCTCCTATTTCAGGGTATTATTGATGTAATTTAGTTTCTGCCCTTCTGGAATTAAAAGCAACATGAAGGCATTCATATGAAAAGTAGAAAAGCAGATGAGTTAAATGATTTTTCAATTTTCTTTTTTATCTTATATTTAACAACATGTATATGGCTCATCCATTCATTTGGTACAGTAGGGTATTACAGTGTATAGAAAAATATGGCAAGTTGCCCTTATAACATGGACTGCTTATTATATCTTTTTACTATCCATGTGATGAAACAATTTAGTTAAAATACTGATAAAAAAAACAATTTAGTTAAAATTGATTCATTACTCAGACACAAAGCAGAAATTTCTTTAATAAAGTACAAAAGACCACTTGTATTTAAAACTCTTGGAGAAATGCCTTTATGTCATGATTCATGCTCTCCTATGGACTATGGTTCTGTAAGTTCTTTGTCTAGTGAGTCATACTTTAATAATCCCAAATAAAATAAGGTACAACTCTCCTATTGCGTTTTGAGGCCTTGCATGCACCAACCTATTTCCATGCAAAGTAAACTTCATATTCTTGTCTGTGTTAAAAACAGAACCTCAGTTACAAGCCAAAAGGAATGGATCAGTGCAACATTTGACATGACAACGTCCCCTTCATAAGGAAATCCATGACAAACAAATAGCATGTTTAAAAGAATAATTAATAGAAGCTTTTCACTAAGCTTAAAAAATCAAACCAAACTGAGCTGAAGAGAAAGATATGTTGGACCAAAATACATCAGGACCAAGATCTGTTATAACCAGAGAATCCAACTGCTAAATGCAACATGAATAATACCCATTTGAAATTATAAATAGCAATTCAAATTTCAAATGTTTGCCTTCATTTCTCTCCCTACTTTTTTAGGCCATTTTATGAGTTTAGCACAGGGCTGTCCCAAATTTCATTTTGCTGTCCATTCTGATTTTTAAAACAACAGTTTTTCTTTAAGTCCTGTTTCAGTAAATAAAACTCCAAAAAGGAGCAATCATGTCATTCTGAAAGAGGCTTCTGTCAGCTTGGTAACAGAAACAAGAGGTGATAATCTACTCAACTGAATAAAATGTGAGCATATACTTCTGTAAATGATTTACGAAGAAATGCATGAATTTACCTAGAGGATCATTTCCCCTGGGCAGTCAAGGCAAATATGGTACTTTGAGAAGGTTTTCACTCACATGAATGGGCATATGCCCCATGATTAAAGCACCCCCTAACATTTTGGTCCCTTATTAGATAGCACCCATTCCTCAGAATCATCAAAGCTTATCGAAATTGAATGTGATATCTCAATAAAGTAACAAACCAGCATGGCAGCATTTTTTTTTTATGAGCAGTATAGATAATTTGAAGTCTTTCATTATGCTACTGGATGAAAATATAGATTTTCAAAGGGAAAGGTATAGAATTTTAAGTGCACCGTTCTAACCTTTCTCAGGAATGCCATCAATGACGATGGAGGTATCCCAGGATTTGAACTATTTGCTGTTGTGATCTTAATGCTCTCCGATCCAAGTGAATCTCCAGCATGCCTAAAAGCACTCAGTGCTTCGTTTACTGCAGGTGAACTCTACAATGAGAAACACTTGAATATTAGACAAAATAGACAGTTATATCAACACTTATTATGGATACAAAGTATTGTTTAGATATTATAAAACCATTCACCTTCAATCATGTCAAAAAATTTATAAAGTTCTATTGTTCTAAACACAACCACAATTGAAACCTAAAAACTGGGAGAGGAATGACATAATGCTCATTTTCTTGTTTCATCACACTTATTAATTATCCTCAATGTAGCTCAGTGTTTTTAGATGCTGAGGTGTGAAGTGAGATGTTTTCCTTACCTAAGCCTAAGGTCTGCTGCATGATCTTCAAAGGCCTGGAGTGCCAGCCTCACAACTAACAAGCATGCATACTATTAACAAATAAATAAATAAATGAAGTCTTTTTTATTGTATAATTTCATCAAAGTAATATCCTCCTATACTTGATTTAAATATAGATAACTTTTTTTGATAAATAAGTTAAATATAGATAACTTCATTTATGTAATTTACACTTTTCTATTACATAATAATTATTTCACTTATTTTTAATATATTTTGGACTCCACATAATTTAAATGTGAGTAAATGAATAATATTCAATTATAATTTATGTTTCATAAAATTCCAATTTTGACTCTTCAGCTCCTGCATCAATCATCCAAGCCTTATTCCAATTATATGGGGTCAGCTTCATGAGTCCTGTTTCGTCATTCCATTCTGTTTAATTCCACCTCCACTGTTAATTATGAACGCTTAAATCATTTCTTACTACTTCAACCCATGTCTCCCTTATGGCCTACCCCTAGCCATTCTAGCCCCTTCAACTAGCAACAAATCACTTCTTATAGGGGTTCTCAACAAAAACTGAAAAACTGAAAAACCGAACCGAACCTAGGAAACCCAACTGAAAAATCCGGTTAACTGAACTGACCAGTATATGTTAAGTCCTTAAGTTTGCAGGACTGGGAGCAGGTTATTAAGATAATCCCAGACACAGCTTAAAAAAATAATAATAAAGAAGAAAAAGGGCTTTCTTATAAGCCCAGTCAGTCCTATTGGTGGGTTGAAACATTTTAATAAAGAAAGGGGCCTACAGTCTAGTTTAGTGAACAACAGGCCCCAAGTTAATTGGGCTTGTTTGTAATGTAATAAGCATTTAATGGAACAGCAGGCCCTAAAAGAATAAATCCATATTAATTAATTTCTTGTG